TAGCCAGGGAAATGAGCGTCGAGAACAGCTTTCGTGGATTTCGAGCCATGGGACGGGGCCCAATCTTGTTGAAGAATGAAGGGTTGCTGGCCAAAGTGGCTAGTGACCCACGGACGTAAAACATCCATCAACACCAACTTTTGGTACACATCCGAGTTGATTTTCACATTTCTATCAATGAAAACCAATGGGACTTTACCTTCCGACGTCAATCCAGCCCACACCATCACTGACTTTGGAAAAAGTCTCTTGTAGGCCAGACGACGTTTTGGGGACTTTGCTTCGTCCTTTGACAACAATTGCCGAGCATTCTGTCGGTTCGGAAGCGGCTCAACCGTAAAAATTTTCTCATCAGTCCAAATGACTTCAGAGAGGCGGCGCACCTTGAGTGCGTCGAGCAACTTTTTCGCTTTTTCGAGCCGATTCTTCTTGGACTGTTCTGTGAGGTATTGGCCACGAAGGAGCCGATAACTGTTCAGACCCAAGTCCTTTTTCACAATGGATTGAACCGATTGTCTTGAGATTCCGAGCGATGAAGCCATTTGGTTCATGCTGACCGCATCATTTCGTGTGATTCTCTTCTTGATGATGCCACGAGTCCGGCGAGTGTTGACAGTACGAGGTCTTCCGCTTTTCTAAAGCTCCAACACATGTCCTCGATCTTTCAATTGTTGCACAACTCGATAGACAGTTGCTCTCGGAAGAAGAAGTCTTCGAGCGATGTCACCGGTGGAGATGCCGTCGTTGAACAGCTTGGCAATGGTTTGGCGATGAGGAGAAGCTCGCATAACTTCGTGAAGAGATAAAGTGATGGGAAATGGCTCTAATGTCGGCTTATATACGCTCCCTATTTTCGGAATAATACGAAACTTTTTGAAAATACGACTTGGCACGGTGCCAAGAGCCATCATAACAAGTGTCTCAATACTTTTCAGCCACCCTGTAATAGAAAAGCATCATAACTTTTAACTTTGAGTCAATTTATCTCGATTCCTGTAAAACATATCTAAAAGTTGTCAACTGATAAATTGTTCAATATAATATCCTAAACATTTTATCAGTTGACACATTTTTGATATCTCTTATAGAAGCCAAGATAATTGAGCTCAAAATTGACAATAAGGGACCATAGGTTTTACAGTATCCTATTTTGAAAGAATGAAGGAATTTAGAAAATCAAAAAATCAGATTTTGAAAAGAAATTTCTTGAGAAAAAGAACCAAAACAAAATGCATGAGCAATGACTCCTGTAATATCCCGAAAATCCCAGGGACACGTCACACACCACCATGTGTTCTTCTTGTTTTCTGCTGTCCTGTTATCATAAGGTCTTCTGATTTGATTTTAAACAAAAAAAAGTGGAGTCACAAAAAATTGGTGGGAAATCAAAAATGAAAAGTGATATGAAGGAAAAAAATGTCGCGAGATATTTATTAGTATTATAGTAGTAGCATGCTCTGGAAAATTGGATTTGTGTATAATAATCCATATCACTACACACATTCTCACTTATCAATGTGAGTGACAGGTACACAAGAAGTTATTTTTGGATTGGAGAGTAGAATGGAGAAGAAAGAAGACGTTAGTGGACAAGAGGAGGAGAGAATGATAAGCAAATATTGATAATCAATATAATCAGATGCTGCAAAACAGAGTGGAAATTTGGCGCCCCGAATGACCACGAGAGATAGATATGTCGAAAAATGCGAATGACCCAAATAAACATAGAAAACGACAAGTCGGATTTCGGGAGAAAAGAGACGGCTTGGAAGATGAAAAAGAAGGGAGAAAAAGGGAGAAGAAGAATTGTGTGATCAGATAGAGGAGGACAAGTGGATAAAAAGATCATTGGGAGGAGAAGGCACTGAATTACTGTCTGTTCTTCGTTCGCACCTCTTTTTTCTTTTCTGGTGGACGGAGGAAGGAGAAGCTTCGTTGCAAACTGGCTATGTTGTCTTCTTGTCCATTGGAGAGACATCGTTCGGCGAATCGGATGAAGCTGTGACGTTTAGGGGACGACTGTTTTCAGAAAGAAATATAACAGATGGGTTTTTTTACAAACATATAACAGTTATTTGATGAAAGAACTTGAGGGATTGGGATACAAATAGAGCACGTATGATTCGTTGGATCAGAAATTTCGTTCATGGTAGTCCCTCGTGGAGTTGAACACCTGTGGAGAGAGGTCTGTTCGTATGATGTGTCCCCGCAGGAGCTCCGCACCGTCACCGGAGAATCAACCATTTGAATGAGACACTCCATGGTCCATAACGTCACTGTTGTCCACTCTTTTCTTTTTACATACGGCAATTGATTATCTGCCATGGAAACTGTATTTTCTTTTGAATCGTATTACCTGCAGTCTGTTTAGTTTTAATGTTTCCCTTCTTTGTTCCCTATTTTCATACGGGTCGACAGAAGACCCTGCTCCTAAAAATAGATTTGGACCGTTTTGCCAATCTATCCCTCTCTGAAATCGTTGAAAACTTTTATTTTCAGAATGCCCATCAACCTTCTCAAACTTCCTCATTTAGTTGGCGAAATGGTTGTGACTGAATTATCGGAGTACTCGGAAATTTTTATACTCAGTATTTGCTCCCGTCGTACTTATTCTTTAGTGGAAAATGCAAGAATCACGGCTCCTCCAAAGTTAGTATTTTGATTTGGAGAATTTCAAGGACATAAAAAATTTGATATTGATGTTCTTCATGAAATTCGGGGATGGTTTTATGTAACATCATTGATACATGTTCATGAATTGGCTTCAGATGATATATTGGCTGTAAAACTTCTACATGATTACAAAGCAGATACAAAGTGAGTTTCGACTACAATTTTTCAAGTATACTGCCAACTTTCAGCTCAATTAAATCGATTCTTGTGAAAGATGTTTTAGAAGCTACATTGGTTTATTGAACGATATAGAATGATACAATAGAGGGGCTTTTATGCTGGTTACATGATAAAGAATTTAATAAAAGAAAGTGATTGCGGGGGATGCAATGCACATTCCCGGTGAATCACCATCAGAAGAGTGCGATTTAGCACACTCCCGGCTTTAGAGAAAAAAAGATACAACAAAATTTAAAATTAGTTGTCCATTGGTCCAATTGACGCTGAAGAACTGAGTGACTACATCTTCGGCGTCCACTCGCCTCTTGTAGTTCTGTTCTGCGTCACGTCGTTAGTGTCTTTTCTCGTATCGTCTTGGCGAGCGTTCGAAGGTGTGACATCTACGGGGTCCATGATTTTGCTGAATACGTCTCGTAATGTCGTTAACGTCGCGTCTTTGTGATCTAACACCTCGGTGGTCTAGCATGAAAGATCAAAATCTCTCTTTGGAGAGAGGCTCCGGGCGGGAAAAGCGTCCTCGTTGGTCCACTTTTAATTGGAGCAAGAAGTTAAGTTCTTCTTCGTTGTTGCTTATCATAAAAATAAGACTTACGGTTTGAACAATCCAAATTGTTCGGAGGTGAGCTGCAAGCTCGGGTGCAACTGATATCTGACGTGCTACGACCGCTGTCTTATAGCTTTCTTGTCCTCGTTCAGATGCGTCAAATGTGATCGTCCTCAGCAAGTCCCGACCACTTTGTTCGAATGACTTAGACCTGCTAATCCTGTGTCGACCAGCTCCCCAAGTCTCAAGTATGCCAATGACTTTGTTGACTATATCAGGAGCTGCCAATCATCTGGTACTGCATGCCGCTTGCGATACAGAAGTGAATATTCCAACAGCGAATAATAGGAGAATAGAGGTACCAATGTAGAATCCTGCCACGCGGGACTTTGAGCGACCGGTGGTTTCAACCCACGATGCACCATGTTTTAAAACTACATTGGTTTATCGAACGATATAGAATGATACAATAGAGGGGCTTTTATACTGGTTACATGATAAAGAATTTAATAAAAGAAAGTGATTGCGGGGGATGCAATGCACATTCCCGGTGAATCACCATCAGAAGAGTGCGATTTAGCACAAAGGATATATAAATTTTGTTTACATTAAAAATATTGGTTATGTTATGATAAATAATTTATCAGTTGACAAATTTTCGATATCTTACACAGGAATCGAAATAATTGAGCTCAAAGTCGATGGTTTGGGTGGGCTGCAATGAGAGGAAATACGGTAATGTATTTTTGTTGCTTTTTGTTTTTTCTTGATCAAGTTGCCCTGAAATTTTTTGCATGTTTTAAAAGCTTTTTAATTAATAAAAAATTCCTGTAAATATTTTAGCTGGAAACTTAAGATACACATTATGACTCAAATGTTCGTTACCTGCAATTGAGAAAAGTGAAGAATTTTATGGACCGTAGCTTATTGCAAACTCGTTATTCTTCGTGGGGAATGGAAATATTAGGTTGTTTGGAAAGCTAGAGTCATTTCAGTGCGTGAAAAATGTGTTTGAAAAAGAGTTTGAACAATGTCAGATACATATATTGAAGGTAAGGACTGTTGTTATCAATGATATGCTGCCAACACTCCACCAGTTTGTGGATGTCTTTCTTTTGTTATCTAATCGTTTAAAATTTTTTTCTCGACACATCCAACATTCAGTAAAATCGATTGTAACAGTTCAGTCTTTCGGATTAGTAGGGATTACCGCAGTTGCTGCGTGAGACCGGAAGACCAGCATTAAAAAAAGGGTTTCACAGTCTTCAGTTCAACCATCAGAAATGAAATTTATACTTCTCCCACTTTGCTTTGTTATTTTTCAAAATGTGAATTCTTTGAATTTGAATGAGATCAGTAAGTTTTTCAAAATGTCATTCTGATGTTTGCTGAAGAGGTGAGGAAATTCAGAAAGAGGGTTTCAGAGAAAATGAGAACTGAAACTACGAAACCAACAACGACAACGACCCCAACCACTACGAAAACTACAACTACGCCTACTACTACAACAACTACAGTATCCACCACAACTACTCTACTTGTTGATTTCTCTGTTGTGGATCCAGGACCAATGATGGTTGACTGCCCGAGTGAATGTGCATCAGGATGGTTGTATTACGATTCTCATTGCTACAAAGTACGGCATTGATTAAAATTTTATAAATTTTTTACGGTAAACACTCTATTACAAGGCCACCCCTATGCTTGAACTCTGAGCTAATTTATCTAGGCCCCCCAGATTTTCAAGTTTGAGGTAATTAATCTCGGTTACTGTGAAAGATATCAAAAAGTGGTTAACTGACAAAACACTTCTGATGGATAAATGAGGTCAAACAAAATATCTTTTTAAGAAGTTGAATAGATTTCAAAATTTAAAAATTCAAGGGTTATTTAAACGTGTTAAAAAACAAAAAATTTTTGGAGAAAATATTAAATTTTAGACCAAAAAAGCTACGTAGAAGCACACGACCCTTGGCCTATTGACCTCGGCGAGAGTACTATAATGGAAAAGGAATCAGAGGAAATAATCAGTTCTCCTCTTCTCTGGGGGTCCTGAAAAGGAGGAGAAGGAGCCAGGTGCTCCAGCTGGGAGCCAGCCTGGCTCCTGGGTCCTGGGTCCTGGGTCTTTTTTAGATCATGACCTAGATTTCAACTTTAAGGCCATGACCTAGCTTTCAATTTTTAAGTCATGACCTAGATTCCACTTTTTAGGTCATGACCCAGATTTCGAATTTTGGGTCATGACCTAGATTCCATATTTTAGGCCACGACCTAGATTTTCTTGAACCGTGGACACTCTAATAGGATTACCCCTCTAACTTTGAGCCTATTTATCTCGGTTTCTGTGAAAGATATGAAAAAGTGGTCAAATAACAAAATTTTTATCATACTAAAACCGAGATTTTATCAGTTGACAACTTTTTGATATATTTAATAGGAAATGGAATATATTGGCTCAAAGTTATGAAGGCATTCTATTAGAGTGCTTACGGTAGTTTCGAGCGTTGTATCCTATTTGCGTCCATTTGTACAAAAGAAACTGAACAATTTTTAAGACCTGAATTTCACATTAGAGCTAATTTTCTAGAAATACAACACTCCTTCAACGTATACACAAGCGGTCAGCGCTTGTCAAAGCCTTGGAGCCGAATTGGTGAGCATTGACAGTTTCGCAGAGAATGAAGCGTTGAGAAGTGAGTCATCGAACTTGAAAGCGCTTATTTTCCCAATTTTCCAGAAGCCTATGACACAAACACCTTGGTCAATGAAGCAGATGAAACATGGATTGGGTTGAAGTACATGAGTGGATCCTGGATGTGGTCCGGTGGATCATCGGCAAGTTACTTGAATTGGGCTCCTAGCCAGCCAGCGTCCAATCAATGTGCTCAAATGATAACTGATCCTTTGAACAATGCCACGTATCAATACCTTCGTGGCGGATGGAAGACGTACGATTGTTCCAAGACATCAGCCAGTTATATTTGTGAACAACCTGTTATAGATTGGGATTAAGATATGTATTTTATGTGGAAGGTCAAACATGAACTACTGATTCGTAATCTTGTTATTTGAATAAATGATATGGGCATAAGAGTGATGAATTAAAGAAAAATATCAATGTTTTAGTTGCAGGTTACAAATGTTTCCATGATCTATAAATCCAACGAATTCACAGACAGATTGGGTTTAGATGACAATGTTTTTGAAACAGATCTATACTGTCCAATAACCTATTTTTATTTCTGTTAGTTGTATTCAAAGAATGCACTACTCTATTTTACTTTTCTGTGTCTTTTACCATGTCAACTCCTTGGATTTGAGTGATATCAGTTAGTTTCTAAAACAACACAAACTTTGAGCCCATATATCTCACTTCCTGTGAAAGATATCAAAATTTTGTCAACTGATAAAATGTTAACGATATTATGATCTATATTTCATCAGTTGACTACTTTTTGATATATTTTTCAAGAACCGAGATATATGAACTCAAAGTTGATCGGAACGTTCCAAACATTTTGGGGCATGCGAGATAAATTGACTCGACGTTAGGAGTTAAGGGTGCAGTTCTATTAGAGTGTTTACGGTATTTTTCTCCTTTAGGTGCCATATTTCAGAAAAAATGAGAACGGATCCCACCACCACTACAGTATCCACTACCACACAGCCTGTAACTTTTACACTTGTAAATCCTGGACCCCTTATGACTAGCTGTCCAGCTGCATGTCCAACAGGATGGCAGTATTATAGCTCCAGTTGTTATCAAGTGAGCGTAAAATGGCACAAATGTATTTTTCTTCAAACATCTCATTTTTCTTAGAAGTTCACAACTACTGCAACATTTGCTGAAGCTGTGACAGCCTGCGCATCTCAAGGAGCACAACTGGTCGAGATTGATAGTTTTGATGAGAACGACGCGTTGCGCAGTGAGTTTAGAATCGTAGAAAAAATACTTGTTCAGTTTTCAGAAGCTTTTGACACCAACGCGTTGGTCACTGAAGCTCAGGAAAGCTGGATTGGTTTGTCACTGACCAGTGGATCTTGGAAATGGGTAGATGGGTCCACAGCCGGTTATACTAACTGGGCACCTACTCAACCTTATAGTGATCAGTGTGTTCAGGTAATCCCTCTAATAAAAGGGCTCTCCTTTTATCTCACTTCTAGATATAAAAAAGTTGTCTACTGATCCTACTTGTTCGGGAAAAATTCCCGGAAAAAAAATTTCGAGAAAATTCCCGTCGGGAAAAATTCCCGGAAAAAAAATTCGGGGAAATTCCCGTCGGGAAAAATTCCCGAAAATTTTCGGGAAAACAGGGCCCTTCTATAACAGGTTTTCTTGGAATTCCCAAAATATGGATTCAGATGATAACCGATGCTCTGAACAATGCCACGTATCAATATCAGCGGGGAGGATGGAAAACGTACGATTGTACAAAGACATCAGCAAGTTACATTTGTGAAAAATCAGCGTCATAATTTGGAAGTTTAAGTTGTTGTTTTTGATTCAATGAAGTTTTTGTACGTCTTATTGACTGGTACTGTATATGTGTTTAGCACTTTTTGAACATTCCGTTATAACAAGAAAGTTGAAATTTACATTCAATTTTTGAGAATTTTGAGGATTTCAAGAAGAATGAAAGTGTTCTAAAACAAGAGACACTATAAAAACAAACCAATATTTATCCAGAGGGGAAACTGGAGAAAAAAAAAACAATCTGTGAAGTGTCTATGAACACAAAGTCTAGAACACAAAAGTCTTGTTTTGTTGGGTGTTCTCAGAAGATCCAGCAGAGTTTACAGTTTCGATCATTCGACTTTATATGACACTGGTCATCTGAACAAGATCTTAACCCAAACCATCCTCGCGAGAAAAAACTATCGTTTTATAAGCCATGAAAAAAGAGTCAGACATAAAAAGTGCACGACCCGACAACCTCGCCATGTCTTCTCTTCCCCGTATCACCGATTCTTGTTCTATCTCCGTCCATTTTGTGAATATGATGCGACGTTTCGTCGTGTCTATTCACCTCCGTCTCATTCACATTCTCGCATCATTTGTCAATACAGTTGGGGGCAACCGATTCGTCTTCCTGTCTGCGTCTCTTCCGATCTCCATGATCTATAGGGTTCTCATCATTTCTGCACTTGTTAAACAGTCCAACTACGCTTTCTTTTACCTAAATTTACCGCCATTTTTTTTGTCTGTTTCGTTGTGTTCTCTGTAGATTTCAGACTATTGGTGGGGGTTTAGATCAGACTTGTTTAAATCGGAAAATCGGGATTCCCTTTTTCCCGAAAATTTTCGGGAATTTTTCCCGACAAGAATTTTCCCGAATTTTCTTCCGGGAAGTTTCCCGATGTGAATTTTTTCGAAATTTTTTTTCACGAAATTCCGGGAAAACTGGAAATTTTCGAATTATTGTTTTTGTAGACTTCTCAAATTTTCAACTATTTTTTGCTTTTTGAATAGTTTTCTGAGCCAATTCATTGACCACTTTTGAGAAACGTAAAGAAATCGACAAATCTCAACATAAATTGAGAAAAATAGGCAAAAATTCATTGAAAAACCAACTTCCCGATTTTTCCCGATTTTCCAGAAAATTCCCGAATAATAATTTCGGGAACACAAGTTCCCGAAAATATTTTTTTCGGTAAAATTTTTCGGGAACCCGATTTCCCGGAAAAAAAAATTTTCGGGAACAGGAAATCCCTTAAAAATTTTCCCGAACAAGTATGGTTTAGATTTTCGTGGTTTAGAGTTTTCGGGTATAAGGAGAAGCTCAATGTAGCCTACAAAATACGAATGAGTCGAATTTTGAAGTTTGCACACTTTTGAATGAGTCCTAATTTTTTTTGAAAAAGGTCGTGTTTCACAAACTTCCCCAAAAATTTGGCATCAAAATGTTTATGAAAGTAATACATGTTTATATTAAAGTGGTTCAGAAATGCTTTTGAAAAATGACGAATTCTTTTTTCTCAGGGATCTGAAGTTGTCTCTGAAAATCGTTTTATTCTATTCCAGGTTCTTCTCAAAATGTGGAGATCACGAACAGCTCAACGAGGTCGAGCGGTGAGTCTTTTTTAAATCCCTAATCCCTAAAAAGCGATATTTTTATCTTTCATTTCCCCCAAAAAAAGATTATGAATTGACGCAGTTTGAATAGAAGACCCTTGGCCTTGGGTTTTGGCTCAAAGATAGGAAAATTATGAATATAAATATGAGTCGCCAATTTTTTTTTGGGAGACTCGTGGGAAACACACACACATCTTGTCATGTGCACTCATGAAGTCTTTTTGCATTTTATGTTAAGATTCTTCTAGAAGAAAAAAGAGCAAGAGAAGGAGACTTTGCACAAATTATATACCCCTTCCTGATACACCGCCCCCAACCACTTTTTCATTTTTTTGAGTTGAAAAAATTTTTTTTAAAGATTTTCTAAGAAAACATTTTTCTGAAATTGAATTAGAAGAATTTCAAACTCTAGTTAATTTAAATGTTTGTTTTTTAAAAATCTAAAAAAGTAGCTTTGTCGAGAAATTTCAAAAATCGTCAGATATTTTCTGTTTACATTTTGAAATTGGTGTTAATTTTGACTTTTGTTAATTTTGTAACTATTTTTTCAAATCAGAGAACAGTTTCAAAAGTTCAGTTTCTAAAAATTCAAATATGCACAGGGTCCCAAAACCCATTGTCTGAAAGCGCGCGCAGATAATTTTTAGGAGGATTCCCTAACTACCTTAGCTTTGCAATAAGAGCATTATGCTCACTTGATAACAACTGGAGCTATAATATTGCCATCCTGTCGGATAGGCTTCTGGAGAGCTAATCAAAAGGCGTCCAGGATTTACTAGTGAAAAAGTTACTGGTTGTGTGATATTGGATACTGTAGTGGTTGTTGGATCCGTTCTCATCTTTTCTGGAGTAAAAAGTTAGAAATCTAAAATAGAACGCCGCCCCTGACTTTTAACTTTGAACTAATTTATCTCAGTTCCCGTCAAAGATCTAGAAAAGTTATCAACTCATAAATTATTAATAATAATATCACAAACATTTCATTAGTTGACCCATTTTTGCTACCTTTCACATGAGCCGAGATAATAGAGCTCTAAGTGAACGTATGGGATGAGCTTCTATTAGACCAAATACGCTTTTGCTACTCTCACTTTTCCCTTTTACCATTTTCCAACTTTTTAGATTTTCTGTAACTTGTGAAACTTTGAAAACCTCACGCAGCACTTTCAATGTGAGCACTCAACTATTCCAATTCATCTGTTTCCATCAAAAACACCTGGATTCTTTGAATTCTCAGACTTCCTGACTATTTCTTTTCAGTCAGTGTGACGGACCTGGATTAACTAAAAAGCTGAAATTTCTTAGAAACACAATACACACACTTTCAAAAACACATTTTTCTGAAATGTTCTGTTGTTTTCTATTTTTAAGCTCTTTTCTCATTTTTGTCGACTCCAACAAAATGAGTTCTGTTTTTATTTTCTCCACTTCCAGACTACAAAAAACAAAAGTGGCTGAAAAAGAAATAATATAGGTGTCATTGACTTCTCCCAACACGTGTCTAATCGGCGAGTCGTCGTCTAAGGATCAGGTTTAATGTAGGCGATGAGGTGCTACGGAAAATTAGCATAGTTGTGAGAATTAGAAGATGTACTCGGTACGAGAAGGATGAGTCTGAAAATAGATGTAACGATTTTTAATACATGGCATTTTTTGAGCTTTTTTGAGATTTGTTCATATCAGAAATCACTTTTTCCACTTTTCTTGACTCTCAAAACTTTTTCGTTATTCATGTTTTCTTTTTTTTACCAAACATCCCTATCATAAAATATTTTCGTGTCAAACACGATCGAACACTTTTCCATCACTCCCCCGTCATCAAATGTTTCGTTTTTCTGAGAAATCTAGACACGCGAATGAATTTGAAAGAGAATGATTTAGAAGAGACTTCCTGGTGTCTTTTTAGAAATTCGAAAGACCAGTTTTTCGAAATAAAATTCCGAATGAAAGATCACTTTGTTGGAAACACCGTAAAACCTGTAATAGAAGGACCCCCACATTTTTCAGTTTGAGCTAAATTATCTCGGCTCTTATAAGAGATATCAGAAATTAGTCAACTGATAAAATGTTTGCAATATTATGATAAACAATTTATCAGTTGACGAATTTTTCATAACTTCAACAGGAATCAAAATAATTGAGCTCAAAAAAGGCGGTATATTTTCGCAAAAGTTCAAAAATTTCTGATTTTTTAAAATTTTGCGCCAGAAAGTAATTGGAACACAGTTTTACGAAGAAAATGTTCCCATGATGAAAAAACACAAGTTTTCCAGGTTAACCAAGGAATTCTAATGTAAAATCAATTCATCTAATTCGAAAATACCGTAAAACCTGTAATAGAAGGACCTAGCTCCCATTGCTCAGTTTGAGCTAATTTATCTTGGCTCTTCCATGATATATCAAAAATCTGTCAACTGATAAAATGTTTTTGATATTATGATAAACAATTCATTAGTTGACAAATTTGTCATATCTTTAACAGGAACCGAGATGAATTAGATCAAAGCTGAAAGTTAGGGAGCCCTACTATTAGAGGTTTTACGGTATATGGGATGTATGATCCATAGTACCCCAGAATCTTTGAAATTAATGAAGTTCAGATTTTTCGAATTTGGAAATCATGACAATCTGGACATATGCTAAATCAAAGTCGATAAGTTGTGGAATTAGAAATTTCGAATTTTAGATTCTAAAAATTCAAGAGCCTCCGAACTTTGGAGTTCGGAATCTTGAAAGCCTCAGAATCTCAAAAATTTTTTCAAATCTGAAATCTGCATTCCAAGTTGCATTCTGACAATGAGGCTCCAAGAGAACCAAAATATAACAAATCGTCTAAAAAACTAGGAATGCTTATCTCTCCTTTTTCTAATTCCAACGATTTCCTGGTGTCTCCTACTACTGATGACTTCTCCTTCTTCGAAATTTTTTCTTTTTTTAAATCGAACCGGAAAGACCAAAGGTCTGGATGAAAAGAGTCGTCGTCGTCTTTTTCTCGAATAATCGGTGGTCGATTTCTAATCTGATATCTTCTCCTCTTTCCTTCTTTTTCTTCTTCTTTTTCTTATATTTTTTTTTCGTCCAGCCATTCAGACCTTTCAATTATTCATGCCACTAAAAGACACCATTTTTTCTATTCCCTTCGTTTTTTTTGCTTTTGATGTTTTGACACTGTGAGGCTTACTACCCGGTGTGTATGTGTATCGGTCCCGATTAGTGTTTAGTTTGGTTCCTGGAAGACAACAAATACGTTTTTTTCTCGCTTTTTTTCCTTCTGACTCAACGTCTTCTGAAGCAGAATGTATTCTTCTATCGTTTTGACTCTTTCCTTTAGTGAAAGAATTCTTTGTTCACCTCATTAGGAGAAGATCTCGTGAATATGTTTGGAGATGTTGTTGTTGCCCTCACACATATACACCAATGACGTAAATGGGGAGAAAAAAAACGCCGAGAAGCTTATCTTTTATTCATAACAATAGAGGATTTAAGAATTAATCATAGAGGAAGTTCTGGACGAAAAAATGAAGCATATTTGTGCAGAATAACAAGTTTTTGGGTTTTCAGACAAATTTTTTGAATTGAATGATTTCAGATCTTGTATTGTTTCAGCTGGAGATTAGGATTAAAGAAGATTCTAGACTTTTATTATTTCATCGAAAAGAAGGATTTAGGAATTTCTTGCATTCTGAAATGCAGAGATTCTAAGATTATGAGATTCTGAGATTCTGAGATTCTGAGATTCTAAGATTCTGCGATTTTCTACGATTCTGGGATTCTAAGATTCTGAACATCCGACGTTCTGAGATTCAGAAAATTTCTTAAAATCAATTTCTCGGAAGTTATGCTACCGTATCCCCAATAATCTGAGATTTCGATGTCCTACGATTCTGAAGTTTTGAGATTCTGAGATTTCGAGTTTCAGAGATTCAGCGTTTTAGAGATTCTGGTATTCTGATATTCTGAGATACAGAGATTCTGAGATCTTGAGATTTTGAGATTCTGAGATTCTGAGATTCTGAGATTCTGAGATTCTGAGATTCTGAGATTCTGAGATTCTGAGATTCTGAGATTCTGAGATTCTGAGATTCTGAAATTCAGAAATTCAGAAATTCTGAGATTCTGAATTTCTGGAATTCTGAGATTCTGAGATTTTGAGATTTTGAGATTCTGAAATTCTCAAAATCTAAGAGAATCTCAGTATCTCTCAACAAATAGAAGATCTTGAAAGTCTCAGAAACCTTAAGAATCTCACTTATTATTGTTCAGAAGTGAGAATAATTATTCATTATAAATCTCAAATCTTTCAGAATCTCAAAACTCTATGTAGTCTGAACCACCGTAACCCGTCCAAAAAGCCACCTACAAAATCTTCTCAAAACCTTCATTAAAAAGTGACATCAAAGCAGCAGAAAGCCTCAAAAAAATTGATTCTTAATTTAAAGCCTTGTGTGAATTCTTCACAAATTTCTACGAATTTCCTTTAAAAGAAAAGCATTTTGAAAATCTCCTCCGTCCATGTTTTTAGGTGTCACCACCGTTCCCATTTCCATTCTCCGACACTAATCTCATCTCCGCCTCCCTAAAAAGCTTCTCTCCTAACGAAGTTTCGACCCCACTGAAAAAAGCGGATAACGCAGTTAGTGCCGTTGGGGTTCCCGATTCCTTTTTTCGGTGCTCTGCTATAATTTTCGTTGTTAGCTGCTTTTTCTTCGACTTCGTCACGTCTTCAGACTTGAAAAACGTTGTCGTCGTCAAAACTCGAAACTCGGTCATGCATATTGTCAGTTTTAGCAAACGTCTTCTTCTTCTTCTCCTTCATCTTCTGCTTTCTGACTTTTTCAGAAGACGTGAGAGAGTTCCCATATACCTATTCTAACGGAGCAATGCTCAAACAATGGCAACTCGATATGGAAGAGGATTGGGAGGTCTAACGGTGAAACTTGAGAAGGGCAAGAAGACTCCACTTCTTCTTCTTTTTTCCACATCGTTTTCCGAAACTAACTGAATCTTCCTTTGTGTGTTCTTTTGCCAAAAAAAGTGCTCCTCACTCTAGATAACCAACTTCACCGATGTATTTTATTTTATACACCAATCGTTGGACTCTATTCCTTGCACACACAAAGAGAATGGACTGCAAATTTTTTCTCGCTCTGCAGTCCGATGAACGATTAATCCTCTCTCTATCTCTCTTTTTTACGCACATGTGTGTGTAGAAAATCCGTTTTGGATCACGCGATGAGTTGATTTCCGGTGGAGCGGAAATTTGGAGTGGAGTTTTGATTTTCTAGCAGCAAATTGAAATTTAAACCGGGTGGTCAGAGTCTCGGACCTAAAATTTTGATTTTGGAAAACAATCTACTTTAAGCTCAATTATCTCAATTCCTATACAAGATTTGAAAAAATATGTCAACTGATAAAACACTTCTGTTATTATGATAAACAGTTTATCAGTTGACAACTTTTCTATATATAAGAGAGACACCGAGATAAATTGACACAAAGTTAGAAGCTAGGGGCCCTTCTATTACAGGTTTTACGGTGGATTTAAAAAACTGATTTTTGATAGTCTAGTCTAGTTGACTCGATTTTTGTACATTTCCAGACAAGATTTTCGGATACAATTTGGAAAAAGATTAGAAAATACAAATTTTGAGACTTTATATAGATGTCTAGATTGGAGATACGGTAGCATAACTTCTAAGAAATTAATATTTTCAGACATTTTCTGAATCTCAGAACGTCGGATGTTCATAATCTTAGAATCCCAGAATCGTAGAGAATCCCAGAATCGTAGAGAATCTCAGAATCTCAGAATCTCAGAATCTCAGAATCTCAGAATCTCAGAATCTCAGAATCTCAGAATCTCAGAATCTCAGAATCTCAGAATCTCAGAATCTCAGAATCTCAGAATCTCAGAATCTCAGAATCTCAGAATCTCAGAATCTCAGAATCTCAGAATCTCAGAATCTCAGAATCTCTGAATCTCAGAATCTCAGAATCTCAGAATCTCAGAATCTCTGAATCTCGGAATCTCAAAGTCTCGGAGTCTCGGAATCTCAAAGTCTCGGAGACTCTGTATCTCGGAATCTCGGAATCTCAAAGTCTCGGAGTCTCGGAATCTCAAAGTCTCGGAGACTCTGTATCTCGGAGTCTCGGAATCTCAGAATCTCGGAATCTCAAAGTCTCGGAGTCTCGGAGTCTCGGAATCTCGGAATCTCGGAATCTCAAAGTCTCGGAGTCTCGGAGTCTCGGAATCTCAGAATCTCAGAACCTCAGAATCTCAGAACCTCAGAATCTCAGAATCTCAGAATCTCAGATTCTCAGAATCTCAGAATCTCTGAATCTCTGAATCTCTGAGCCTCAGAACTCCAGAACACTGATATTCGGAATCTCAGGAATTTGGGATTTCGATTTCAATATTTCAAGATCCCTGATATTTTACGATCTAGGTCCCTTGACTCCTCCCATTAAGCACACTGAAAGTGGCCTACCAAAGACTCCGCCCTTCCATCCAAACAATTCCATCTTTCTTCCTCCAAAATGAATGAGAGAGTGGTGATCGTCGAACTCTCATTCTTCTTGTTTCTTCTTTCTTCAAAAAGGTCCTACTTGAGATCCTTCATTTATTCATTTCCCATCTTCTTTGTCCTTTTTTGTTCATTTCTCCAAATACAATCGTCACAAAAGCTGACAGGCGGCGCCAATAGAAAGGAGCTGCTCCAGAAGATCACACTCGTAGAAAACATTCCCTCATTTTTCTTCCTCTTCCTCCACCAACATCTTCTTCTTCTTCTCAATTCGATGCAGTCATCCATATGAATGAACACCACCAATACACACTCACTTATGTCGGCAGAGTCGCCCCAGTCATTTCCTCGATTTTTTTTTCGTAGTTTTTCGTTTTTTCGTTCTGCTCTTTATATATTTTTTGTGCTTTGAAGTTTTTTACTCAAGTTCTCTCCTCAGAACTATGCTCACCGATCGGCTGATCACACGGATCGGATCCCTTCGGGGCCTATCGCCACTTCGGATGGGAAGTTTCGGATCGGTGTCGTCCGCACCACCCGGGTCGGCAAAGATTGTTCCAGCGTTCCAGGTTTGAGAAGTGTTGTGTTGTGATGAGTTTGTTTTCAAATATTGTATACACTCTAATAGAATGGCACCCTTTATTGTAAACTTGGAGCCAATTTATCTCGTAAGATCGCTTGGCTTTCTTTTTTTAACCGCTTTCTAGACTACCGTAATCAAATCACTCATAATTTTTAATTGTGAGATCCAGAAAAATTTTTTGTTAGCCAGAAAACCCTTAGCGATTTCTAGCTACCGTAAAATTTGAGATCCGTCAACTTTCAGGCCACTCTCCAGGACTTCAGCTTAAAATCAAAATTTCTTAAATTTGGAAGAGTTCTGGTTTCTAGATTCTTACTTAGATTCTGATTTGAGGTTTTCAGATTTATGATTAGACAACTTTGACAAGTTATGGTATTCAAAATGATGTAATACTCTCAAATTCAAATTTCCCGAAATTCAAGATTTCTGACATTTCGATGCCTAGAATCACATTACCCTAAATTCAGAAACTATACCTAAATCAAACCACCGTACTTCTTTTCAAAAATAGTTTTAAAATTCGTAATGCAAGAAATTGTTGTCCGGAAAATCACAAAATTTCCACAGAATGAATCAGATTTGACACAAAAAATATAGTCAACACTTTTTGCATCTACAGTAATCCCTAGAAAAAACGCCATGACGTTTTCCAAGCGCAATATACCGTACCCACTCTAATGGAAAGCTCCCTCAACTTTGAGCAAATTTTTCTCGGTTCCTGTGAAAGATATCAAAAAGTGGTAAACTGATAAAATGTTTATCATAATATCAGAAAATTTTTGTCAGTTGACCACTTTTAGATATCTTCTACAGAAAATGAGATATATGAGTTCAAAGTTGTTGGTTCAAGAGGGAACCTACTGAGTTGGGGTTTTACGGTATATTCTCTGGAGAAGCTTGCATCATCTAATTTTTTTTCTTAATTTTCTCAATTCTATCTTTTCACATAACTCATAAATAATCTCATTTTTCAGTCATTTCTCTTTCACTAGTTTTTTTCTCTTCCACGGCCATTTCGGCCACTAAAAAATTGGTGTCAAGGGACATTGTGTCAAGTCCAAAAAATATGTGAATCGTGTATGTATCAAGTTTTTTTCTTCTGCGCTCAGTGGGACTTTCAAAATTGATTTATCTCGATTGATGTGCAGAATAAAATTTCAAAAAAAAATTGAAAAGAGTCGAAGAAGAAGAAGAGGACGATGTCGTCGGTCAGATGGATATCTTTGTGGCAGTTTTTGTTGCTTCGACGAATCCCCGACGGAGCAACAAGAGAGAGTTGCTCTTAAATCGAAAGAACCCTCTCTTCTTGTTCTCTTAACCCAAGAGAAAATTCCAGGGGTCAAGGGTCTCATTCCCTGACTGAAATTAATCCTTTTGACACGTCTGCAAACACGACAAGAGAAAACAACCTTGCTCTTCTTCTTCCTTTTCTTCCTTTCCTTCTTCTTCTCCTATTGTTCAGTTTCTCCGAAAAAACTGAAGCAAAAGACGTCGTCTCAAGACCCCCGGAGCCTCCATGTGGGGCTCCAAGAAGAAGTTTTTTGCTCTTTTCTCTTTTGCCACCCGCCCGTCGTCGTTTTTGGCACCCCCATATTGGAAAGTAAACATTTTGGAAAGTGTATTTTGAATTGATTTCAAGGAGCTGGGAACTTTGGATAGTTTGCAAAAAGTGTGTAGAGTTTGAACGATCTATATATGATGGGACCGTTTAAGCCGCACAGACTGCACAGACCGTTTGATCTTCTTTATGAGAACCCTAAAAACATTCAAATTACCAATTTCGATTCCCCAGACTACCGTAATCAAAACAATAAAAATTTCTAGATTCCAATACTTCATTTGTGAGAAAAATCCCAGGAATTTCTAGATGTCAACTTTGAGCTCGATTATCTCAATTCCTGTGAGAGATATCAGAAAGTTGTCAACTGATAAATTGTTTATCACAACGTCACAAACATTTTATCAGTTGACAAACTTTTAATACCTCCCACAGGAACCGAGAAAAACAAGCTCAAAGTTGATGTGGGACGGTGCCTTCAAATTAGAGGTTACCATGAAACCTGTGGACCCAACCCTATCAACTTTGAGCTCAATTATCTCGCTTCCAATGACAGATATTAAAAATTTGTTAACTGATAAATTGTTTATCATAATATCAAAAACATTTTACCAGTTAACCATTTTTGCTATCTCTCACAGGAATCGAGATAAACTAGCTCAAATTGACGTGTACCTTCAAATTACAGGTTAACACAAAACCTGTGGCCCCAGCATTGTCAACTTTGAGCTCGATTATCTCGCTTCCTATGAGAGATATCAAAAAGTTGTCAACTGATAAAATAGTGTTCATACTATGGTAAACATTTTATTAATTAACCGCTTTTTGATATCTCTCACCGGAACCGAGAAAAATTGGCTTATAGTTAGGAACTCAAATGCGAGGTTTTTCGAGGTTTTAACTCCCAACTCTCCGAAGTACCCAAGGTGCACCCATTTTCTAAAAACAAAGAAAAAACCACAACGACTCCTTAATCTTCGTGCTTTCTCTTTTCTCTCCCTCAAACTTCTTGTCGACCACTTGGTGGCCGACCAAATTAGAATAGAGAGAAATTAAAGTACAAACACATAAAGGGTTCACAAATCTCCAAAACTCTCCCTCTTTTCATATTTCTTCATTCTTCTTCCCCAAACAAAAAAAACTTTCTTATGGGACCCAGACGGGGCTTCTGGATACACTTTGTCTCTTTGTTTTTGGGTTACATATATATGTAGATGTATATATGTATTTGTGTCCGTTTTTCTCTTTCGTTTCTCTAACTTTTCCCTTGTTTTCCTTTTCTTTTGCTACGGATAATCTTGATTGGCTGTGTCAGCTTTTGACGAAATTCTGTATGTCCGTTTCTCCCCACTGTTATTGTGTCAGCAGAGACGGAATTTTAGATTTCTGGAAAATTCTGGCGTTCCGGGTTCTTGGGTCAAACTAGAGACATTTCTGAGAGTTTGAAATACAGTAACCTTGATTCGCCCGTCAACTTTGAGTTTAATTATCTCGGCTCCTGTAAAAGATATTGAAAATTTGTCAACTGATAAATTGTTCATCATAAAATCAACAATATTTTATCAGTTGGAAGTTTTCAAATATCTTTAACAGGAGCCGAGATAATTGAGCTCAAAGTTTGCACCTTAGAAAATTCCGTTATCCCCCTAGATATCAAGGACAGTATGCTTTATTGCTTATTCGATCTCTACAACTAGTCTTCGTACTTTTTGAAAAACACTGCCAAATGCAAAAGTTTTGTCACCCGTTCCTTATTTAGAGATGAGAAACTAAGGCCAAACAACCATGGCTGCTGACCCGCTTTTCTCATTTCTCTCGATCCTCAGGTCGCCCAGCCAACTATTCGTTTTATTATGTCCTCCAATTCCTTATTCTTCTTCTTGTTTTTCAACACAAAACTATAGATTTCTCAAATTTCCCCAAAATCTTCAAACTTTTTTTGTTGGGACCTGCAGCAGGGCTTATGTGCGCGACGAGAAAAATGATAATCCAGTGTAGCAGCAAGAAGAGACATTTCTTTGCCCACGAGAGATAGGAGAGTTAGACAGAGCGAAAAGGAGTAAAGTAAAATAGAGAAAAGAATGGAACCAATGATTCGATTTGTGAGTCTGTTGTGTTGAAAGAACCAACGAGTCGGCAGAGCTTTTGACAAGACAAAACACTTGTGTTCTTTTTTCTTCGCTAAGCGACACACGGTGTGGTGGTCCGTTTTTCTGCAGAATGCGACACTCTTGAATTTTGAATGAGACGAAAAAAGAAGCGACTGCCTCGATGTGCATCTCGTCCTAATTCACCACACACGCACATTACTTTCTGGGCGCAGAGTCGTCGCCAAATTTTTATGAAAACATTGCCCAAATAAGTATCCTAATAATCTTTGGAGCCTTCTAGCCGAATCGTGACGTAAATAGCGAGAGAAACCAAGGTTTTTCGGCAGGCGGCGTATCATTCTTGGGGGGTGAATTCAGCCCAAAAAAGGACAAATTTGCATACAATGTTCAGTTCTTTTCATGACAATACGATGTGATTTTTGAATAGAATAGACGAAAATTTGGAAAATGTTTGAGAAAAAAAACCTAATTTTTAGAATTTTCGAGATTTTGTTCATCATAAAATTTAGTGCAATTTGATCGCTGTTATCTCTAGAACCTGTTTTTCATAGGACTTGATTGCCGGAGTGGCTCGAACGAGGCTAAAGTCTGAAATAGTACGATTTAGCCGCTCCGCATCGTAGCGACGGATTGCAAGTTCTCAGGTGCCAGTTCTTTTGTTGTAATTCGACAATAATTTTCTTATTTTTTCAAGCAAAATGCTGACTTTCAGCAGTAAATCTCTATTTTTTGCCATTTTTTCATCATAAAAATTGATGCATCCGCAACTTTGCGTAAGCTGCAATGCAGAAGATTACTGTAGGCGTCTAATCGTACGCGCAAACTTCCCATTTTTTTCTCAATTTTTGCGGGCATTTTTGCCTGAAAAAGCTACTGAAAAAGAATGCAAAGTGTATACAAAACAGAACAATATCAAAAGTGTATCACTATATTTAATTTAACTGATAAGAATATTTCTTCTGCTCCTTCACTCTCTCCTCACTGTTTATAATGCAATAAGGATCTATAACCTTTCAGCCGCAATATTTATAACCGGTCGGTCGGTCTTCAATAAACAGTTCGGTCACTAGATTTAATTTCATCTAACCGCGTGCCACCGTTTCGGAGGCTGTTATTTATTTGTCTCGCGTTCCACTTTTTTCCTTCTCTCTCTGTGACTTCTTCTCGTCACCTATTCCAATTTACTTCGACATTAGACATCTCTCTCCTTCTAGCAGATAGCGAAAGAGACTGCAGAAAATTAAATGGTCGATAAATAAATACTTGGGAGTCAATTTAGTTGTTGTGTCGTCTTCTCATCATTTAGAACTTTCATAATATCAATTCTAGTCTAGAAGTTCTAGAATGTTCTTTTTTAAACATAAATCGGTTTTCAGATGGACTACACAATAACAGAAACGGACACTCTGGAACGAGTCGCCGCGTCACACGACTGCACAGTCGGCGAGCTCATGAAGCTCAACAAGATGGCGTCACGAATGGTGTTCCCTGGACAGAAGATCCTGGTGCCCTTGGCGAATTCTGACGACGTCTTCGATCCACCCTCTTCCACGTCTTCTTTGAAATCTTCTGGAAATCAAGTATCGGGGATTGAAAATGCAGGTTTGTAGTGCGCCTGGCAACAACAGCAAGAAAAAAGCAAAAAATATAATGAGAGGGGAGAGAACAAGTGCGCACACACACTTATAAAAGCTCATTTTGTCTTTATAAGTGCGCAGAGCACCAGGAAATGAGAAAAAAGAACAAAGATTGTTTCTTTTCAGAAGACGGAATACGAAAAGGTCCGGGCGGTGCGGTTCCAGCGCATGTCCGCCGGGGATCGTTCACCAAAACCCAGTCGGCGCCGATTCCACGTGGCAGTAACGAAGAAGCGGATACTGATTGTCTACAGAGGTTTCTGAAGATCAAAGTGAAACAAGTCACAGAATCCGATGGGACCGTATCGGGAACGCTGCTGGTGACACCGAATTGCTTGATGTTCGATCCGGATGTTTCGCATCCGTTGGTGAAGGAGAACGGACCGGATTTGTATGGAATGGTGGCGAAGTGAGGGATTTCATGAATTATTTTTTTGAAAAATCATAAAAATTGATTTCAGTATGGACGAAATTCAGTCAGTGTCGGTGTACAAAGAGATCAGCGGATTGACCGGTGATAAGGAAGAGAAGAAGAGGGATATTTTCGATCCTGAACATTTGAGAACGCCAGAAGATAGTCCAAAGGTAATATCGTCTGAAAATTGAGCTGAAAATCCGGAATTTTCTGAAAGAATGACACAGAATTTGGCTAAAATGAGCTGAAAATCGATTTCAGTCATTTTGGCTTAAAAACAAACGATTTCAGCTAAGTTTTAGTCGAAAAAGTAAATTTTCGCTGGAAAATTGAGCTGAAAATCTGGAATTTTCTGGAATAATGACCCAGAATTTTGAGAATTTTGCTAAAAATCAATTCAAGTCATTTTTCTGAAAATCAATAATTTCAGCTCATTTTTAGTCGAAAAAAACGCATTTTCGGCTGAAAATCTTGAATTTTCTGTAAAGATGAGTCAGAATTTTGAGAATTTTGCTAAAAATCGATTCAAGTCATTTTCGCTGAAAAAATACTATTTCAGTTCTTTTGTAGTCGAAAAAACGCATTTTTGGCTGAAAAAATGAGCTGAAATCTGGAATTTTCTGTAAAAATGACCCAGAAGTTTGAGAGTTTCACTGAAAATCGATTTCAGTCATTTTGGCTTAAAAACAAACGATTTCAGCTAAGTTTTAGTCGAAAAAAAAAATCAAATTTCGGCTGAAAAATGAGCTGAAAATCTGTAATTTTCTGAAAAATTACCCATAATTTCAAGAATTTCGCTGAAACTCGATTTCAGTCATTTTTAGTCGAGAGAAACGCATTTTTGGCTGAAAAAATGAGCTGAAAATCTAGAATTTTCTGCAAAAAATGATCCAGAATTTTGATAATTTCGCTGAAATGAGCTGAAAATCAATTTTCAGAAAGAGGTAAAAAACCAAGAAGAGATCGATATCCCCAAAAACGGAGACGTCCAATTCGAAGCCGGATCCGTTGACTCCAACCACTCGCCAAAGTTCGGAAGCGACATTGCTCTTCCAGCGATTTCAGAAGAAACCAAGGATTCCCCCTGTGACGAGCACAAAGGAAGCGATAGTCGCACTCGAGCAGCGACTCTCGGAGATGAGGAAGTTCAGATGAGAGCCAGATCTCGATCCAGGACGTCTTCTCAAGCTAGCAGTAACGATGAGAGGCCAAGGAGTTTTTCGGAACTGGATACGCCATCAGAAGGCAAGAATATCGGAAGGTTCTCTCCGAACGCAGCCAGACGTTCGTTCGGAAAGCTCGGGAGAACGCTAAGCGCTCGCGCTAAGTCCATTCAAGGAACAGTGACGTCAGGAGCTGAGAAAGTTGTGGGGACTGCTGTTCAAGGAACAAAAACTGTGGCTCATGGCGTGGTGACGCACACCAAAAGTGCTGCGGACACCCTACAGTCTGGAATTGAAAACGGGGCGAAGGTAGGAGGACATCTGGACATACAGATATTAGGACAAAAAGAGAGAAATTCCAATTTTCAGGCAGCCGCTGATGTCGCAGGCCGTGTCGTCGACAAGGGACAATCGCTGATGAGTGAAAGCATCAATGGCGTTCAGGAGATTTTCAGTGTACCCGATTTTGAGGTGAGCAATGGTAGATGTGGAAGACACGATAACTACCGTAACCTGAAAAGAATTGTTCCTAGGTTACTGTAGTTGTCGTCGTGGGACCTAATACCATCTGCCACATAAAACTAAATTGTTATTGTTCCGAAGGTACAATTAGCCGAAAACTAGATCACCTACTAGGGGAATGTTGATGTGTTGTAAGTAATCAAAAGCAACTGGTCGCATGAATAGAGAGAGAGAGCGTCGACGTCTCTCTTGATGCCGAAAAACGATATTAACGAGATTATGTGAGCGCATCGACGCGCCGTCCGAATCCGCTTTTTGGAAGTTTCTGCTGCATTTTTCGGCATTCATTTTCAAACTGATCATATTGACACCTTTTTGTACATAAACTATGAATGTTCTACTACTGAGAAAACCGTTTCGTAAACGGTCAGATAGCTATGATTTGGTGGCTTTTGATAGGCTTACAGAGGTCCCAGAAGAGGTTCAAAAGTTTTGAATTTCTTTAAAAATCATTACAAAATTCCAGCAACCCGCCAAAAGTCCGATGGCTATGAAGCGAGAGCAGTCGCTGGCAAAACTTCAAGACCTGAGGAGACAAACAGCAGAAGCAAGAGAGAATTCGGCCAAGGAGAATCGGGCCAGCGTGTGAGTTTTTTTTTTGAGATTCAAAAAATGTTTTTGCATAGAAAAGAGATAACTAATTGACAGAAATTGTCGAATTTCAATTTTTCAGGAACGAAAAATAGGAACTACCGTAACTTAAAAACTACCGTAATCTAAAAATAAAGACCTAGAAATTTGAAAATTTTACTGAAAATTGCTGAAAATCAGTTTTGGTCATTTTTGCTGAAAATATAATTTTGGCTCAAAAAACCCCGATTTTCGGATGAAAATTGAGCGGAAAAGTGGAATTTTCAGGAAAAAATGACCCAGAATATTGAGAATCGCTGAAAATCGATTTTAGTCATTTTTGCTGTAAAATATAATTTCAGCTTATTTTTGGTCGAAAAAACTCGATTTTCGACTGAAAATTGATCTGAAAATTTGGAGTTTTCTGGAAAGAATGACCCAGAATGTTCAGAATTTCGCTGAAAATTAATTTTTGTTAATTTTGCTGAGAAAAATAATAATTTTAGCTCATTTTTAGTCGAAAAAACCTCGATTTTCGGCTAAAAATTGAGCTGAAAACCTGGATTTTTCTGGAAAAAATGACCCAGAATTTTGAGAATTTCACTGAAAATCGATTTTCGTCAATTTTATTGAGAAATATAATTTCAGCTCATATTTAGTCTAATAAATCCCGATTTTCGGCTAAAAATTAAGATGAAAATCTGGAAATTTCTCGAAAAATGACCTAGAATTTTGAGAATTTCGCTGAAAATAGTTCTATTTAGTCGAATTTGCTGAAAAATAAAATTTCAGCCCATTTTTAGTCTAATAAATCTCGATTTTCGGCTAAAAATTGAGCTTAAAAGCTAGAATTTTTTAGGAAAATAACCCAAATTTTTGAGAATTTCGCTTAAAATTGATTTTTGTTATTTTGTTGAAAAAATAATATGATTTCAGCTCATTTTTACTCAAGAAACCCCGATTTTCGGCTGAAAATTGAGCTGAAAACCTGGAATTTTCAGGAAAAAATGACCCATAATTTTGAGAATTTCGCGGAAAATCGTTCTAGTCGAATTTGATGAAAAACATACTTTCAGCAAAAATCGACAAAAAACAGTGAAAAATGAGAAAATAATTATAAAAATAAAAATAATTGCAGGTTACTGTAGTTTTCGTTATGGGACCTTCTAAAGAATAACTTTATTATCTCTTTATCTAAAATTTTCAGCTTTGCATGTGCCACATCGAGCGACGAGATGCCACACGATCTCCTCGCCGACGTCGATCAAATCATCGAGCGAAGTCGAATTCAGAGCAACGATTCAACGGCGTCACAACCGCTTCTCCCATTCTACATGGCCGTTAGACTGACAAGAAATAAGAAGAAGAAGAGTGAGTTGTCTTATATAACTTTTCGAAAAGACACTAAAACTCCAGTTGCTTTCCTTTTCCAACCACTTCTACTTCTTCTCTAATCCATCTCCACTCGATTCCACTATTTTCGTTTTTCGTTATTTTCATTTTCTCCTCGCACCTCACCTCAAAAATCTCATTCCGAGACACCCTTTCAACGCAAATTAGGTAAAAAGGCACGAGACAACACATCCTTTCTTCCCTACTTTCCCGTTTTTTCGGCCCTCCCGAAACTTTTTTTTTTCGAAAACTCGCCCGTTGTTTCAACTGGTTTGTGCTGCTCGGAAGAGTTTGAATAGAGAGAGAGAGAGGGGTAGTAGTTCAAAGAAAACTCGCAGAGAGTGCACCTTTCGAAGAGACGCAGAGATGCAGAGTGTCCTTCATTTATCCGAAGCTTGCATGCCACCCGGCCGGCGTATTTGTTTCAGGAAAATCTCCTAGTAAATTTCTCCTTGTGACGTAGATTTTCTGTGTTTCAGAGTCTTCAACCAGTTCGCCATCCTACGACGAAGATATCGCGTTTGGAAATAAGCTCAAGAGAGAGTTTTGGCGAGTTTTTGTTGTGAATTTTTCTAGCTTTGAATCGTCTGAAAATGTTGAAAAAGCCGAAAAATAGCCATTAATTGGTTGGAAATCTATGAAAAAATGTTTTTATTGAAAAGTTTGAAACCTAAACTAATCTCTATAAACTTATAAGGGCAGAACTTTGAAAAATCAAATAACCTTTTATTTGGAGAGAAAAACTGGTTAACGAACTACGAAGGATAAGAGATTTATTCGGAAAATTGAACGCATGAACTTCCAAAAAAATGTTTTAAATATGAAATTCTAAGGAATTTTAAGTAAAACCCAACGAATTCTATGTTCTAAAACGTCCTAGAAGTGACTGAAATTGCTGATTTTTCACTGAAAAAAAGGTTATATACAATACCGGTCAATAACATGCACAAAAATGTATTTTTCAGTTGATTTTGGGCCATTTTTACCATTTGCAGGAGACTAGAGCTCCTCTGTCAAGTTTCCGATCACTTTGAAACTTTTGCAGGGTGTAAAACAGACCTATATTGAAAACTTTGCATTTACAACATTTTTCGAAAATTCCTGGTTTTTCAGCTATTCATGATTTCAGAAGACACCCATTTTTGGCCCGTTTTGTACTGGCAAATATCTGAAAATCTAGGAGTTTTCAAAAAATTATGTGATGTCAAAATTTTCAATCTAGGCCAGTTTTACACTCTCCAAAACTTTCAAAGGGATTGGACACTTGACAGCCGAGCTCCTGCCTCCTGAAAATGGCCAAAAATCTACTGAAAACTATGTTTTTGTAAGATTTTAGTGTCCGGTACTGTAGCCATTTTGAACCTATCCTAACAGGTTTTATCGAAATCTGGAAGCCCAAAAAGTCTAAAATGCAAAATCCTCTGAAAACTATCTAATTCTCTAGGTTCGCCGTGCCACGTAGCCAAGCCGACAACATCTACCACTTCCTTCTGCAGTGGTCACCGGATAAGTACGGATTGGTGAGTGGTCGTAGCCCGAGGCGTTGGTTGTCGTCCAAAAATTTGAAATTCATACCAAATGAGAGACATCTTCTCTCATTTCCTCCATTTTTGGTCTTACGTCTTCAATTTTTTTGCTAGAATTCATACAGAATCACTTTCTTTTGAACCAGATACATTAGATATGATAGAACTCGACAAGTACTACAAAATGATACAATTTGGATTACTGTATCTTGTTCATGAACAAAGTTACGAAGCCATAAAGCTGCCACCGCGGACGGTTTTTGGTTTTGTAACTTTGTTCATAAACAAGGTACAGTAATCCAAATAGTGTCATTTTGTAGTGCTCGTCGAGTTTCATCATATCTGATTCAGTTTGTCAAATTTATAGATCTAGAAGATTCAGAAAAGTAAAAATTCTAAATCTCAAAAACTCTGAAATTCTTCCAGGACACAACCGCCGGTGGCACCAACGAGGAACCGTCCGTTGTGATGGTTAGCGACGGCACAGACAAAGGATTCATCGTGTTAGGATCGAACGCCGACGAGTCGCTCGGAGGTACGCGATCCATTTTTTTTTTTTGAATTTCCGACCAACCGGCTGTCCGAATCGGTCGGCGGTCGCCAACTGTGGACCGACCTAGAAGACAAAAGACACAAAAAAAATATGCATAAGGCGTTTAAAACCCACCCACGATGTTCTGAATACAGCAAAAAGTACATAATCCATCATAAAGTCACACATAGTATGTTCTACTTTGTGCTGAAAACATTATGACCAATCGAGGAGAACAGAAAATAGAGCAGAAAATGAGGAGATAACCCTCAATAAAAATGACGAGACTGATAAGAAGAGAGGTCGTCCCCCTGGAGAAATGAATCATCAAGGAGCTGGAAACATTCGTATAAAAGACTCGAATTCGCTGGACAAATGAGTAATGAGGCACCTTCTGTGTATTTCATAATTCTAGAAAGTCTCCAAGGTGACGTCTCCTTAGAAGACGTCACATTGAGAATCTGTATTTTGTGTTAGAATCGATCTTTCGATCACTTTATCGTATTTTCATCCCTTTTTGTGTCGTCTTGTTGGTTCAAGAAGAACCCATCACGGCCGAAAAGTTCTCTATCTGTATCTCGTGATGATTATTTTCTCTCATCTTCAAAGAATCATCGCTATCACCGTCGTCACGTCTTCAAAAGAAGTCTTCTTCTTCTTTCTTTTCGCTATCTCTTTTCAATCATCGACCATTGTCCACCTTCTGTTTTACACCCATCATTATCAGTTATCACTTCTTGGCAAAAAAGACAATGACCAGTTGCATGTCCTTTTTTGTGTCTTTGTTCATCGCTTGTATATTGGAAATGTTGTCAAACAGCTGACATTGTTTTAGTATCTGCTACAGTAACCCTCTTTTTTCTAGTTTCCTTGAAATCGATATTAAACAGCATACTTAAGTCTATTGAAATTTCAAGTGCATATAATAATTAGTTCTCGAACATTCTCTATTTGTCTGCGTCTCCTATTCTCTAGCCTCAGAGGGCAAAGAACCTTCTAGAAGCTCCTAGGTCCTTTGTTCTACCTTCAGAGGGCAAAAAATCTTCTAGAAACTCCTAGATCCGTATATACCGTATTTCCTCTAAAAGAAGCCCACCCAACCCGGTCAACTTTAGGCTCAATTATCTCATTTCCTGTGAAAGATATGAAAATTTTGTCAACTGTTAAAGTATTCATCATAAATTCAGCAACATTTTACCAGTTGACAATTTTCAAGTATCACTCACAGGAACCGAGATATATGAGCTCAAAGTTTACGGTTAGGGTGCCATTCTATTAGAATGATCACGGAGTATAACGCACTCTTATTATTCTTCAATTTCCTCCTATTCCCCAAACCGCCATTTTTGTCTCGGACAAAAAGTCTTCTGATCTTTTTTTCGGGGTACTTTTTGATCACTTGATTCCTATCATCATCTGACACCGCGAACCTATTCTGAACCCCCCATCAAAAAGAGATTCCAGGAGAGAACAACAACAAAATCATAAAGTGCCACGTGGCAAAAAGTTTTCAAAACATGCGCGGTCTCTTTAATGATGCAAATTGGGTAACAATTTCGAAATGTTTGAACTCTTCTCACTTTCCGATTGGTAATGATCATACTCGCCCCCACCTTTATACAGCCCGGTGCATCATCTCTAATCTTGTGTGCGCGCGCGTATTTTTAAAAATGCATCCAACAGTTGGATTCCGACTCTGACCATATGATGATTTGAACTTGAAATCCCCTGCGTTGCTACTAGAATAACTATGTCCCCGATGTTATTTAGGTAATCCGCGATGGGCGGAGCCTCATTTTTTGGGGATAAAAAAAGGAAGATTTCTAGGCCACCAAGTTTTTTGTCACTTTCATTGTCTTTCTTTGTTGCAGCTGTTGTTTTCTTGTTTTGCAAAAACCATATAAGGTCAAATAATTCACTCCTCCCCTCCCATCACTTTTTGTCCTTTCTTCTTTCCGATGTCTTCTTTGTAAAGAACAAGTTTCTCTATCTTTTCTCTTGTAATTCAAAAACCACATTGTTCCTTTTCTCCTCTCCTCCTCCTAGTAATTTTAGTTCATAAAGTTGGAAGTTTTATTTTGATAAGACACGAACTGTATAGTTTATAATACCCTAGACAATGTTTCCTTGTACCCATGTTTTCCATCCTTAGGATACTGTAGCAGTGTCCACAGGCTCTAATATGACTAGCAATAACAATCGAGTTCGAATGTTCCGCATTCCATAGATACCATGAAATCTATAGATTATTTAACACCTATCGAATTTCCTATCAAATTCAAGACGTTAACTTTGAGCTCCATTATCTCGGTTCCTGTGAAAAATATCAGAAATTTGTCAACTAATAAAATATTGGTGATATTATAATCAATATTTTATCAGTTGACAAATTTTTGATATCTCTCACAGGAACCGAGATAATTGAAGTAAAAGTGGACAGGTTGAATAGAAGAGGAAGTACGGTAGAAGGTTTTTTAATTATCTAGGATTTTATGGTTCCTATAGTTCTATAGAATATGGTACCAGGGACTCATTTGGTGCCCAGTGCTACAGTATCCTAGATTCTTGGGATCCTTGCTCCCGGCAATCCCATTGTTCCGCTCAATGCCGCAACCTGACCGCCGCAACCTGACCGCCGCAATCGGACCGCCGCGGCAGCCGTCCCCTTTACCCTATCTCATTTTCTCTGCTCCCTCATCATCCGCCGTGCTCCCTTGCACTATTATTATATATGCTGACCTTTCTCTCTTATTGTTCTTTTTCTCTTTTTCACATTTGCATATTTATCGATTTCGATCTAGGCAAATCTCGTTCCTCTTATCATTTCGCTTCTAGGCTGACATCGAAATAATGTTCATAATCATAATAATTATAAACCTGCCCAAGTTGCTTGCTTCTTATCAAAAATGGTTTCTGACCTCAATACCCCGACCAGCGCCTATTTTGGTTTTATTATCTCTGTGCAAATTCCCCACAAAACCGCAAAAATAACAAAAACAATCTGCCAAATTGGAGAGTTTGAACTTTTGTTCGATGTTTGATCCACCGCCATCCATCCATCCATTACTCTTACTAGTGCAAAACGGCACAGGGTAATTTTGATCAAATTTTTCATGGATTTCCGATGATTTTGTCGCGCCTCCTCTCTCGTGAATCGTGATAGATCAACTCTTACGGATCGCGACCGTTTTACAATAATTTTGTCTGGGCCCAGAGAGAAAGAGTGAGAGAGAGAGAGAGAGAGAGAGAGAGAGAGAGAGAGAGAGAGAGAGAGGACATGGTTGCTAATTGAGTTGAACTAGTTTTCCTGAGGCTGTCACATTTAAGGATATTTTGTTCTCGCCTGGTCACCACAGATTATACGGTTCGACGCGCGCGCAATATTCGATGATGGTTTTTGGGTTTTCAGAGAGATAGAGAGGATCATGTGAACTAGAATTTGATCTATCCTATCCTGTTCAGTTGCAGAAGGTCCTACAACGACAATTACAGTAACCTAAAATACCGTAAATGCTCTAATAGAACGCCATCCGAATCGTCAAATTTGAGCCCATGTATCTCATTTTCTGTGAGAGGTATCGAAAAGTGGTTAACTAATAAGATGTTGCTGATATCATGATAAACATTTTAATGGTTATCAACTTTTTGATATCTTTCAAAAGAAACGAGATATATAGGCTCAAAGTGGACGGTCCGGGTGGCGTTCTATTGGCGTGAGTACGGTTTTTTAGGTTACGATAGTTGTGGGAGCATGGGCACCGATGTTTTTGTACTAAATTGATAGGAATTTGTTTTTGATCTAGCCTAATATCTAAAGAATTTTATGTATTTTATGCACCAAAAACAAAAAATAGAACGTATAATGTTTCTTCACCTATTACCCTCCGCCCCATTTCATAATTACCACTGATAAGTAGCCGTCCTCAAAATTGTTTCAAAAACATGTCGACTTAGTATAAAACAATGCAATGATCATTATTTGAGTACCCAGTTGCTGCATGATCTTGTCAGCCAACTTCCGTGCTTTCCCCGTTTTTTTTCCGTTCCGCGCGCCGCTCCACTAGCTTTTCTGCGTCTCCGCTAGCTGCCTTATCTCTCGGTCTGTTGGAAAAAATTTTTTCGCAGCATCTGCCCCAAGGAGAACGTTTTGTTGTTCTTCTCTAGATGACCACATGCCATATTATAATAGTACATGTGCACTGTACTACTGTAATATTGAAAATGAATCATATCGTTTTGTTATATTGTTTCAAAAAGAGACGTATCATTTTCAGTTTTCGTCTCATTTTGGGCCTACAGTGCCGTCCGTTTTGACCTTTTTCAGAAGCCTAGAGCTCGGCTGTCAAGTTTCCGATCACTTTGAAAATTTCGGAGGATGTAAAACAGACCTAAATTGAAAACTTTGCATTCGCAGAATTTTTTGAAAACTCCTTTTTTTGCCGATTTCTGAAGACACCTCTTTAAGGCCCATTTTTGTACGAAAAACTGGCCAAAAGAAGTGTCTTTCGGAAATCGGGCAAACAAGGAATTTTCAAAAAATTCTGTAAATACAAAGTTTTAAATCTAGGTCTGTTTTACACTTTCCAAAATTTTCAAAGTGATCGGAAACAGGACATGCGAGCTCTAGGCTTCCGGTCAAAATGGACGGCACTGTAGGCCTAAAATACGACGAAAACTGAAATTGATATATCGTTTTGAAACAATATAACAAAACGATATGATTCATTTTCAATATTACAGTAGTACAGTGCACATGTACTATAATAATATGACTCTTGAAACTGGTCAAAATGGCCGAAAATCTACTGAAAATCCTATTTCCGGCGGTAACAAAGTTCTTATTCACCACCTTGTTTATGCCAGAAATTTGGTGTTGTTTCTAGAAAAGGTCAAGTGTGGTTGAAGGCCTAAAAACACCGAAACTCGATTTCTTGAGACAATGAAAGTTCCACGTGTCACTATCCTTCCACAATTTACGACTTTTACGGTACCGTCCAACCTTTGATTCTGTTCTAATTCGATGTCAACAAATCAAGAATTAGTGGGGTCGTCTTGTTCTTATTCTTAAAACTCTCCTGACAACTTATATCAGAGATAAGAGATTCATAGTAGGATTACCTCTGCCCACACACTCATATGAGACTATAAGCTGACCTGAAAACGCCCGCCTCATTGTCGATGATGTTCCTGTATAAAAGTAACTGTATATTTTGTACTTTTCAACTGATAAAAATTGCATATTCAAATTTTCGACACATCTCGTGGCATGTTCATATGACATTTTTTGTACTTTCTAAAATCTACAGTGTTCTGAAACTTCCGTTCTGCTCGTTACTCTCTTATCTAATCGCATCCTTATCATTATCTCTCTTTATAAGTTCTCCTAATTTTTTAGCCACTCTCACACACAAAACCACCACTCACACCCAATTATGGGCGCCAACGAGTCTGCCAATTTGCACACCGACGACGGAACGATCCCGATCAGAAGACGTGCACACACATCGTACACCAGAAGTCCGCCTGACTATTTCGGTTCGAATCCCCAACGAAAAACTAGTCAGAATCAGATGAACCTCCAAAACAACAACAACAACAATGATGAGAAACACAAGAACTCCAACAACACGATTCTCACCGAATTCGATGTGAAACAGATGATGGCACGCAGTCGCGCTGGAACGGTTTGTGTATCCTCGATTCGACGTCAGTCTTCTGAAGACGCCGAGAAGACGATTCTGGAGACGGTTCGTCAGGCAACACCAACTTCAGATGACGAATCGACTGGAATGTCGAAGAAGGGAAGCATCACATCTCGTAAGTCCACTGGATCCCACGACTCTGGCGTTGGAACTCACCCAAACTCACCAATTGCATCGAATCTACACTTGCCATCTTCATCGAAAGATTCTGAAGAGCGTCATCCGGATGAAGAGAAAGATGAAGAGAAAACACTTATCCCCAGTATCACAGTATCTCCTGCCGAAGATACGATGGAGGATCGCAAGAAAAAGAACATCAGACACGTCATCATGAAGAAGATGTTCAAGAAGAAGGCGGCGAAGCCGATGAGAACAAGATCCAAGTCACTAGGAGCACCGTATGCAATGTACACGAACGGTATGTTTTTTGTTGTTGATGGCTATGTTATTTGCAAGAACTAGGATTAGAGAAAGAAGCCATTCGCAGGTGGAGTGGCATTTTGAATTTGGAAGTTTTTGACTATAGACGAAAATTGCTTTCAAATGTCAGTTCTCAGAACTTGGAATTTCAAATCCCACCTCTCCTAAAATTAGGAAAATTTTTTGACCGCATGGTAAATGCGAATTTCCGTTTTTCAATTCACTAAGTTTTAAGACTAAAGAGCAGCATGTCTGAAAATAGGATATGAATGTTGAGTCAACTAATCTGACTAGAGAAATGCATCCTATTTGCTCTAATAGAAGCTCACCCAACCCGGTAAACTTTAAGCTCAATGATCTCGGCTCCTTTGAAAGATATCAAAAACTTGTCAACTGATAAATTGATTATCATAATGTCATGATCATTTTATCAGTTGACAGATTTTTGATATCTTTCAAAGGAGCTGAGATAATTGAGATCGAAGTTGACGGTCTGATTTAGCTGCTATCAGAGCAAATACGGTTGGTTTCCGAAGCTAAAAAGTTCGGTTTTAAAAAGTTGACACTAAATTTTCGTGTCAATTTTTTCTCTTTCTGCAAAGACATATTGTTCCAATTTGTCTTCTTCTTCGTCTTCTTTTCCTTTCCGTCCCCGGGCTTCTTCATCCGTAATGACCATAGACCGATATCTTCTTGACACACGGAAGTCTTCTTGTTCTCGCTCTTTTTGAAAAGATAGGAGCAGGTTGTTTCTGAATTCCAGAATTTCTAATTCTAGAAGAAGAAGAAAGTTTCTAGAAGACGTCAACCGCTCCAACATCATCGTGGTCATCATCATCATCATCTTCAGCTACCTAGCTACATTAAAATACATTATCTTTTCAAAGAATCTCTGAATCGTCACCTGTTAGGTTTAGAAGCTTTCTCTATTCTTGTATCTCTAAAAAGAGAGAAGAAGAAGAAGAAGCCGTCGATTAAAGTGAGCGCGTGTCTGTCTCCATGCGACAAACTTTCGCCCCTACCCCTATTCTTCCGAAAAAAAAAGAAAATTGGAGGTGAACACAATTGAAAATGGGCCCGGTCCTCCTGAAAATTGAGTTCCTTTCCATTATTTTTTCCCCTTCGCAATCCAATTTTTCTTCATTTTGCCCCATGTTTCCATTCGTCTTATTTCTGGTCCAGCTCCGGAAATTTAGAATCCAAAGACGCTCATCTTTGAAGTCTTCTGGAGGAAACTTGGCTCGCGATGGATGCTCCCCACCATTAGGTTGATTATTTTGAAATGCTCAGACACGTAACACACGTCTTCTGCCTCTATTTATGGAGATGTCTAGAACTCACACCAGATTCTGGAGCTGTTCGCCAAGAATCATACCAGCTGAGTAGCTGTAAATAATACGAGTTCTTCTATGAGTCAACGTATTGATAATGGCCAAAAAGAATGCTCCCGGAGCACAGAGAGGTGTCAAATTGCATCTGCGCTTCTTCTCCTGCCCAGGGTTATCAAAACAAAAACAATAGTAGTAGTTTTTGGAGGAGAGTGAGAACGGCGGTTCTCTCTCAGTAATGAGTAACTAGATTTTTTCCTCAGCTATACGATATTTTTGGGAGAATAGGATTGAGCTAGTCGGGTTACTGTACTTCATTCTTGGAAACGGGCCCTAAACGAGCTATAGGTCCTTTTAGAATCTATATTTTTGGACCAACGATATTATGAATGATACAACTCGACGAGTACTACAAAATGGTACAATTTGGATTACTGTAGCTTGTCATTGAGCAAAGTTACAGGCCATAAAGTTGTGACCGTGTAGCTCAAATGGTTATTGGCTGGTAAGAATAAAATTACAAGCTGAAACCCGTTGAGCTACACGTTCACAGCTTTATCGCCTTGTAACTTTGTTCATAGACAAGGTACAGTAAACCAAGTAGTATCATTTTGAAGTGCTCGTTGAGTTCTATCATATCCAATCTAGTTCGTCTGAAAATATTGCTTCTAAAAAGAACTATGGAAGGATCCGTTTTCAAGCATACTGTACTTCCTTGCAGTAGCTCTGACTTTTCTATTTCTTTTTCTTGCTTTGCAAAAAACGTCATTTTCTGAAAAAAAAAAGGAAAAACAGAATAGGCACCAATTTAGCTTCTCCTTCTCTGAATGAGTTCAAATTGAGAAGTTCTTCTTTCGGCTATCCCCTCGCATTTCCCGTTTTTTTCTCACTTGTGAAGTTTGACCACATTTTTTTTGGTCGAGATTGGCTTCTCAGTGGTGTCTCCGAATTGGTTTCTTTGCTTCCTGACAAAGGCCCGGCAATTTGAAATCCAAAAAATCACGCACAATTCGTTTTATATGTTCTTTGTCCATTTCGTTTTTCACCTGGCCTCAATTTGGCGCCACTTCCGGAGAAGAAGAATAAGAAACTCAATAGATTCCATTGTGCATTTCTTGTGCTCTTTAGACTCTTCAAAAACCCGACGTTGCTGTCGTAAATCAGTCCGATAGAGAGAAATGGGTACAAACTGTTTTCTCGTTTACACGAGATTCCTCCCCAGAGGAATCCCAGAGAAACTGGCAGGAAAAGTACTAGGGCTCTGTCTCTCTTTGCTTTTTTTTCGTCGTCTTGTTTCCACGTCTTCTTCTTCTTCTCCTTCAAAAAAGGGAATTCATTCTTCCTGCCCAACCGGGCATATAATTTGACACCCTTTTTTCGAATAAGAAGAAGAGAAGAGGCTGTTGCTCGTCCTCATGATCCGAATGCTTCAAATTGCATTTTGTATCTATCTTCCTTGTAGATTGCTCTCCAGAAGGTTCTGAGCGAGTTATTTTCAGATATACTCACTTTCATTCCCACAACCTTTTGAAACAGTCAGAAGAACGAATCTAGAAGACGTGCGCGCTTCTAGAATTCAGATTCTGGACTACAAATTCTGAAGTCTAAAAACAAAACTTCTGTAATCCAGAAGACGTTACTTCCGCTGGACGTCTTCTATTGTCCTTCATCTCCCACCCAATTCTTCCTCTTCTTTTCTCCCAGCAATCTTTCTTTCAAAGCTCGCCTTGCCTTGCCACTACTTTTTGTAGTCCGGACATCTCAATCTTCTCCCTATTTTCCCCCTAAATGTCAAATAGAAGAGTAAACAGGGCAAAAGGGCAACGTCTTCAGTCTGAAGACTTCAGAGAACCGTAATTGTTCTGTACCTACCCCTTGTCTGGAAAAGATGTTTTTTCGCCTCCCCGCCCAGACTTTTCTCGGGGACGCCCAACGTCTTCTACTACCAAAATGGGCGGAGCCTACTTTTGAAGAAAAAGCTCCTCAGTCCTCAGTTTTCGTCTTCCAAGAATCGAGTGTTTTTTGTTCGACAAGACGAAAAAGCGACAAAAAACTAACTCAAGAGAAGAAGAAATAAGTTTTTGGCACTCCCCGGACCCACCCGCCGCCATGACGGACTTTTTCCGCTCGAATAGCGAGTAATGTACTTTGCCATATCTAGGACTTGTTTCCTTGTCTATGAGCCCTCCAGCAATAATACTACTGATTCGACTAATCAGGAGGAGAGCTACGTCAAAGGAATTGGCCACGCCCCCTTTCTTGGCTCGAAGACAAATTTAGCCACTCATAGAAAAACGACTCCAATTAGCTGGATCTTTTAGGATCTAGCATTTGGTTAACGAGCTCAACTACTAGCTTTTTTCTTCTTTTTCTAATTTCCTTCATAATCTCTTTGAGATATCCACCCCCACCCCTCTCCTTCAGTTCCATTTAGTTTCATCTTCATCTTATTCATCTCTTTCCTTATATCCTATCGACTTTTTACTATGCCTCTCCCACTGATTACTGTATCGTGTACAGACGACGTGCCCACCGGTGGCGTCTCGTATCGTGAAATGCTGTCCTCGCTCGTCGATAAAGTTCAAACTTCGACCAATTCGCTGGCGTCGACTGTGTCGCAAGCATCATCTGAGGAGATGAGCCCCTACTTGCGGCAGATCGGATCGTCGGTGCGACGTCTCTCGATGCCACTTGGCAAGGTTAGACAGTCGTCGCAGCGACGTCTGTCCCAAATGGTTTCTGCTATCGGCGAGGTGATCGACCAGGAGATTCTGATGACGCAGCCAGGTACTTCTTCTGGAAAAATGTCGTGCGAAATTTGAAAAAATTTCTTTTTTTAGAAAATCTCGCAAACCGAGATTTCTTGAAACTTCTTGAAATGCACAAATAATTCATGAACTCCGGATTCGTTCCGTGTGAGCATTGCATGTGCTAGAATCAATTGCTCTTTCTGAATTCCGGGATAGTTGTCTCCCCAAAAAACAATAGGACATCGTGGTAGTGGTGGTTATTGACAAAGAGAAAGCATCACAAGCATATTTAAAATATTCATTGAAATTTTTGAGAATGTGATCTTCTTGAAATTTGAATCATCCAACACACACACAGACAGAATAATGAGAAGTGCTCACTGAAACAGGAGAGCACTTTTTGAGGAACCAGCCACGGGGTTCGAACTGCTGTGGTATGCTGTTGCGCTCTAATGAGAATGTGACGTGGCAAAGTTTCAGGCCGATGATAAATTGATTTTTAGGTGGAAAATCACCTAAAAATTGAATTTCAAACAGCCTAAAACTTTGCCACGTCACCTTTCTCTATAGAGCGCTACAGCTTACCACAGAAGATAGCACCCGAGGGTCCTAAATTTTCCAAAAAAAAAAATAAATAAAATTTCCCTGTTTCCAGGCGAAAAATCGACACCACTCTTCGGCTCATCGTTGCTCAACCGCGAATGGGAGCTCGTCACAGTGTCGGAAATGTGCCGTCGCTTGTCGCTCGACCAGGAGCTCGAGCTGCCGATCCCGGACGGCGCCAACACGTCGCAGATTTTGGATGAGCTCATGATCAGACAGGTAGGACTTGAGATACACTTCTATTTTGGGGGATAGACAGGGTACAGTACAATTTCTGGAGAGTACACTGGGTGCGCGGGCGGCGTCCCTTTTTAGAATCCAGAAATCACCTTCTTAGAGAGGGAGAACAACAAATCACTTACCACCCTCACCCTCAGTAATCCTTGTTCTTTGCTCTAAAGAAGCGATTCTAGACAACTGATTCTATTAGGAAGTCAGGGTTCAAGATTTAATGAGAAGAGGAGCTTGTAACTCAATTTACGTCTTCTTCTTCTCCTTCTTCTCATCATTTGAATTTTCTGTTTTGCTCGCCGATTCTTCGTCTTCTTCTTTTCCAACGAATTCATTGGTTTTCTCTCTACACGAAAAGAAGGAGAAGAGAACGGAAAACAAAACGATAAACCCCCTCTTTTTGAGTTGTTATTGTTGTCTACTCTCTGTCTTGGGGTTCTCTGAAAATTTGTATTTAGGTGGTTCCTCATTCCTTGCTGACCGAATTCTTGCATTTGTGCGTCAACTTGACAGCGAGTGCGTACGCAAACACTCTCTGGCAGGTTGAAGCCGACACATTTAGGGACAGCACCACAACAACTTGGCATTTGTCGGCTCCCACAAAACATCAATTTCCAGGTGATGGACATTCTCCCGCCACGCGCCGAAGGCTACCCATGGGTCAACATCTACAACTCGGAGAAGCACGGATTCTCACTGGCCACCATGTACAGAAAAATGGCCGAGTTCGACGAAGACCTCTCGCCAGTCCTGCTCATCATCCGCGACACCAAAGAGCACGTCTTCGGAGCAGTAGTGTCGTCGGCCATCCGCCCATCAGACCACTACTTTGGCACTGGTGACAGTTGTCTCCTGTGGAGATTCACTGGTGAAGCGCCGCATACTCGGTAATTCAATTTTTGATATTGAGGTTCTAGAACATTCGAAAATTTTCAGCGAACTCCGTCAATTCAACTGGACCGGCGACAATCAGTACTTTGTCAACGCCGCGAAAGATTCGCTCTCCATCGGAGCTGGTTCGGGAAGATATGGATTATGGTTTGATGGTAAGGGAATTAAATCCATTTTCGGATAAAAATATTAATCATTTTCAGCTGACCTTAATCACGGACGCTCCCAGAAATGCGAAACTTTCGACAATGAGCCGTTATGTGGAGACAATGAAGACTTCGTTATTCAATTCATTGAAGCCTATGGTTTCCGAATGTAATTATAATTCACCTTCTATCATGACATGAAACATACCCTTTTCTTGGCTCCTATTTTTTACTTACAGCATTTCCTATTTTTTTCTGTTTTGCTCCGTTCAAAAATTCCCGATTTGTTTCCACAGCACTTCCAATTACTATGTGTATATTTTCTTCCCCTCCCGCGTCTCTATTTATTCCCCTTTGATAATTTGTAGCTATTAGGCACATGCAGTGATATTATTTGTCCTTACCTTTTTTCATTTCATTCTCTACTGGTATTGTGAAACTAGTTGTACCCTTCCTCACGTCAGTCGTCGTCCACCGCTCGTTTGTTGCCCCCCACAGAATCTCTAGTCTCAATTTTGTGAGATTTGGAGCTGAAACTTATGAAAACCGAAACCTAATAAAAACATCTGAATTATGAAGCTTTGCATTAGTCGACTTAACTAGAGCATACAAACGAAAGCAACATTGGGGGTAAGAATCAAAGATAACAATAATATACAGACTAGATACATTGTGGGGGAATTTGTGAGAAGCTTGGGGAATTGGGGAAAGTTCTGTGAGTTCAAACGAGTCGACAAAAAATGAAAAATTATTGGGGAAGTAAGTCCTAGGGACCGGGACAACGTTATTGGAGTTGATTAGACAATCCATACGAAAAACATAGAATGGGGAGATTGAGAAGCATAAATGTTCATTAGTTTCGAAGTCCCGCGAACGATAGATCCCGATGGAATTGGTTTCCGAAGATCCGCGCCATCCGTGTAACACCGTCGTCGACGGAGGAGTCAAGCTGGCTGGCACGAGCGAATGCGCGAGCCAAATCTGCTCGCCGGATTGGAAGACTCTGATTGAGATCCATGCTGAGATCGGCGGCCATCGATGGCATGAACAACGACTGATTGAAGGCGTTGGAGGAGTTATTGACGGTGGTGTTGTTCAGAATTCCGCTTGCCTGTGCCAGCAACGTCGGGTTGACTATTTTGTGAATGAACTGACAACGGGTTCCGTATTTGCAATTTCCGGTAGTCGAGAACTTGTCACAGAGAACCGTCTTGTATTTTGGGTGATTGCGCCCACGTGGCTGAAAGAGAAAACATTGGTTAGGGAGAGCTGGAAGCGTGACGTCGACGACGTCTCCAGAGAGATGTCTCAACACGACAACACGTCACTCAAAAGGGACAGCGCAAAAACTATCACTTACGTGTTGTGGGAGTCGAAGCTCGTGCACGCCATGAGCAAATCTGCACTGTTCTCCATACGAACATGTCGCGCTGCGTTTGTAGGAATCACAGAGTGCCGTCTTGAAGGCGTCGTCCTTTCTCTTCTGTCGCATCAACTCCTCTCGAAGATCGTCGGGAATTGTGCACGGATCCTGACTGGCGAGAGCATTGCGCGCGGCTTGTGACACCAACGTCTTCAGCATCTGATCGTGTTGCACAAACGGTTGGAAGTCGCGCGCGAACGATTTCTCTATGTCGGAGAGGCCTGGAGGCACGGAAACCGATGGGAGGGTTCGGTTGAGAAGGTTGAGTGTGTCGGCTGCTTCGCGGTTCTCCTTCTTGAACGACATGATGGAATCGTTGCTACGCGACTCGCTTCCGGTCATTTGTGATCTGAAAAATTGATTTTTTAGTGAGAGTCATGAGAAGAATCGAAGAAAAATAGAGCAAAATTCCAGTGAAAGGAAAAGTATTTCCGGAAAAAATGGGCGGAGTCTAATATAGCCGGAATTGCAAGCTGCGCACGGTGCTTACGGTGATGAAAAACTGAGCTGCAGCTTGCAAATTAGGCTTCGCCCACTTTCAAAACTGAAAAGCCGCGTGGCGCCGCGCATTCGGACAGAAAATGGAAATTATGAAGAAGCTTCTCCTAGAAGAGAAAAGCATCGCAAGAAGAAAATGAAAGAATGAGCGACCCAAAAAAAAAAAAATTTGGCGCCGAGAAGAAGACAATTTTGAAATTTAGCGGCTGAATTTGAGATCAAAATTTTTTTGAGAATTCGTTTTTTTTCGTATTTTGTGTCTATTTTAGCGAGCGCATCTAATCTCTGAAAATTGATTTTTTAAGTGAAAATGATGAGAAGAATCGAAGAAGAATAAAGCAAAATTTAAGAGAAAGGGACAAAAAGTCCGGAAAGTGGGCGGAGTCAGTTAGAGCCGAAATTGCAAGCTGCGCATAGTGCTTACGGTGATGAAAAACTGTGCGGCAGCTTGCAAATTAGGCTCCGCCCACTTTCAAAACTGAAAAAGCCACGTGGCGCCGCGCATGTACAGATTCGGACAAAAATTATGAAAAAAAGACAAAAACCGGAAAGAATCGGAAGAAGAGAATCAAATAACGAGCGACCCATAAAATGAATGAATCTGAAAAACAAATTTTTGGCGCCCAGACGGCAATTTTGAAATTTAGCGGCCGAATTCGAGATCAAAAAACTTTTTGAAATTTTGAATGTTTCAGCTGAGAAAATTGGTTTTTTTTTCGTATTTTCCTCGTCTTTTTTTTCAATTTTCAGCATTTCTTTTCAACCTCATTCTCTAATTTTCAGACAAAATGGTCTTCGGCGAGAATCAGGACCTTATCCGCACACATTTCCAAAAAGAAGCCGACAAAGTGCGTCAAATGAAGACAAACTGGGGACTTTTCACCAGGTAAATTGTTCGCAAAATCATGATGAATCAATTTTTATCAATTACAGATCCCGAATGATTGCTCAGAGTGACTACGACTTCGTTGTGACTTACGAGCAAGCCGAAACCGAGCAGGATAGAAGCACGGTGCTATCAGTATTCAAGGAGAAAGCAGTCTACGCATTCGTTCATCTCATGTCACAGGTATGTCCATTTATGATATTTCATAACCAAAACGTTTCGTAACTATTTCCCTACATTTTCCAGATTTCGAAAGACGACTACGTAAGATACACACTGACAATAATCGACGACATGCTGCGAGAAGACGTCAGCAGAACGAAAATTTTCGAAGAGGTGGCTGTGCTTTTGAAGAGATCCCCATTCTCATTCTTCCTGGGTCTTCTTCATCGCCAGGATCAGTACATCGTGCACACAACGTTCTCAGTTCTGACAAAGATGGCGGTGTTTGGGAATATTAAGTCAGTGAAAGACGGAAAAAAAAACTTGCAACTTGAATATAACTTTCAGAGTCACCGGCGACGAGTTGGACTACTTCATGGGCTCTCTGAAAGAAGCTATCACTCGTGGAATCGCTAACGACTACATTGCGACGGCTGTCAGATGCATGCAAACGCTCTTCCGAATCGATCCGTACCGCGTCTCCTTCGTCAACATCAGTGGCTACGAATCGCTGTCGCATGCTTTGTACTCGACTCGAAAGTGCGGATTTCAAATACAGTATCAGATTATATTCTGCATGTGGCTTCTCACTTTCAATGGACACGCAGCCGAAGTTGCTCTCTGTGGGAATCTGATTCAAACTATATCGACAATTCTGGGGACTTCTCACAAGGAGAAAGTGATTCGAATCGTGCTGGCTACGCTGAGGAATCTTATAGCTTCCAATGAAGACGAATATATGAAGAAGTACGTGTGTTAAAAAATGTAATCGGTTTAAAGCAAGTATATTTCAGACAAGCCGCTCGTCAAATGGTCCAAAATCAAATCCTTGTGAAGTTGGATCATCTGGAGAATCGAAAATTCCAAGATGTGGATTTGATTGATGACATGGCATTTCTTCAAAAAGAGCTGAAAAAAGTGGTCGAAGTTTTGACGTCGTTCGAAGAGTATGAGAGTGAGCTGCGTCACGGTGCTCTCTTCTGGTCTCCACCTCATAAATGCGAAATTTTCTGGACAGAAAACGCGCATAAACTCAACGATAATCGACAGGAACTTCTGAAGATGTTGATTACGATGCTCGAAAAAAGCAATGATCCGTTGGTTCTGTGTGTTGCTGCTAACGATATTGGAGAGTTTGTGAGGTAACGAATTGTCGACCTAGTTTTGCTTTAAAATTGTACTGTTTTCAGATATTATCCGCGTGGAAAGATGCACGTCGAACAGCTCGGAGGAAAAGAAGCCCTGATGCGTCTTCTCACAGTTCCGGATCCGAACGTTCGCTACTTCGCACTTCTTGCCGCTCAGAAGCTGATGGTTAATCATTGGAAAGATCTCGGACTCGAAATCTAAATATTTACTAATCTCTGATATGTCTATTGTGTAAAATATTCCCTTTCAAATCTCTGTGTGAATTCCTTTCCGTTTATTGAATAATTTAAACATTTGCATCTCTTTCACAAATGTAGCTTGCAGATGTTTTGGAGCAATCATACGTCTTCCATCCGCCACGTTGATATTGATAGGTCGAGTTGGTCAATGCATCGGTGATCATTTGGACGCATTGTTGGCCGGAAGACGGTTGAGTTTGGGCCCAATTGGTGAAGCTTGCCGTGGAGCCGTCTGTCCATTTCCAGGAACCAGAAGTCGATGCCAAGCCAATCCACGTTTCTTTGGTTTCATCAACCAACGCATTCGTGTCGAAAGCCTCTGAATATTTGTAGGAATTCTTAGAATTCTGAATATTTCCACTAACTTCTCAACGCATCGTTTTCACTGGAACTCTCGATTTGCACCAATTCTCCTCCCTGGAGTTGACAGTTTGTAACAGCTTGGCTGTGTGTTGCAGGAGTGTCAAACTTCTGAAAACCTGAAATTTTTTGGAAACAAAAAGTTTTAAAAAAAACCTTATAACATTTGGATCCATAATACAGCCAACCAGATGCACATCCAGCTGGACAATCAGTAAGCATGGCACCAGGAGTCGTCATTGTAAAAGTGACGTATTCTGGAGCACCAGTTGTAGTCGTGGTTGCAATCGTGGTTGGATTGGTCTTCATTTTTTCTAAAATTCAAATTCCTAAAATTTATCACTCGACAAACAGTGTCAAAACTCACTAATATCGTTCAAATTCAGAGCATTTGTGTATTGCAAAATGCTCAAAAAGCAAATTAGGGTGGTTATGATCTTCATTGTGTTTGAAAAAAGGGGAAATTTAAACAAAAATTATATATGAATATATATATAGGTTTGGATGGGAAAAAAAGTTCAAATAGGTGGTAATCTGGTGTAATCCATTGGCATACCAGAAGAGAGAGAGAGAGAGAGAGAGAGAGAGAGAGAGAGAGAGAGAGAGAGAGAGAGAGAGAGAGAGAATGACCCCTTTAACTTTCCACTTTGAACCAATTTATCTCGATTCCTGTGAAAGGTATTCTAAAGTGATCAACTGATAAAATTTTTATAATAATATCACAATTATTTCATCAGTTGACAAAATTTTGATATCTTTTACAGGAAATCAGATATATGGGTTCAAAGAAAGGGACACATCGCCATTCTGATTTGTCGAAACAAACACTCAGAATTAATTCGGGATATTCGGAAGGTAGATGTCTCCACTAATTGAGAGTTTATAATATGTCAGGAACAATTGATGAAAAAAAGACATTACCGTATTTCCTCTCATAGCAACCCACCCAAACCACTGGCTTTGAGCTCAATTATCTCGATTCCTGTGAAAGATATCGAGAACTTGTCAACTGATAAATTTTTTATCATAACATAACCAATATTATATCAGTTGACCAAATTTTGTTATCTTTCACAGGAATCGAGCTAATTGAGCTCAAAGTTGACGGGCTTCTATCAGTGGAAAATGGTAAGTGAAATTCTGAATAAAATAAGAAACACGCTATATTTTCATACCGTTTGTGAATTTCAGAAGATATTTTTTCAACAAAAAAAAAAGAAAATTTTTCAACAAAAAAAAAGAAACAAAAAAAAAAAGAAAAAAAAATTAGAAAAAAAAACGACTTTAGCTGGTGGAAATTTGATGGTGATAGCAGACTTGCAAAACGGGCCCTGCCGGGCCCTGGCCGGCCTTGTCAGAACTTCTTTCAGAATCAATATTTTTGATAATTTAATTCTCATGTGATAGAACTCGGCAATTTCTACAAAATGATACTATTTTGAACACTGTAGCTTGTCAATAAACAAAGTTACAAGCGATTAAGTAGTCAATCCGGGCCGGGCCGGGCACTGCCCCTTTTTCGGCCCGTTTCGTTTGTAACTTTGTTCATTGGCTACAGTGTTCCAAATAGTATCATTTTGTAGACATTGCCGAGTCCTATCAGGTGAAAACTAAATTATCAAAAAATATTGATTCTAAAAGAAGTTATGACAGAGCCCGTTTTGCAAGTCTGGTTGGTAGAGAGTCTACTTTAGGATACTATAACTCCATAATTACAACGTCATCATCGTCGTTTGAAGCGTCAAGTGAAATTTTGGGAACAAAGAAATGAAAACGACCATGTATAAACTTGACAAAGGCTCTTTTCCGTCTGTGATTCGTTTTAGTTCAAGAAACTCCTCGTTTCTGAGAGAGTGCCTCATTACCCATAGGCATGATTCTGAAATATGAAATCGTAGGAAAAGGCTATTTATGATTGGAAAACTTACGGTGTAGCAACATCGTAATGAGCTGGTCTCTTTTCTGGTTCATTCGGATCGTATTCCTCGAATTCGATTGCTTGTCGTATCAGAGCTGCATTTATTAACCCGGGGTTTTGCACTTTCCTAACAATACTTAAGGTCTCTAGATTGTGATAAGTTTGAGATCCATTTATGAAGAAACTGAATGATATCTTGTTCAGTTAAGATAACGGAGAGCAATCGCATGTTTCGACCGACGAAATTCTGAGAAAAAATAACTTATTTGAACAGTATCATTGAAAATTCATGAAAACAAAACTTTACATGGAAGAAATCCGCCCCGCAGTCACAATGTACCGCAAAATCTTGAACTTGGAAAAATGGAGAATCTTTCGGTAGTTCTCCAACAATGCTTTCTCTAGAGATAGATAGGCTCCGATGGTTGGGATAAGTCGTCAAAATTTTAGTCAAAAATTGTGGTTCAATAGTTTCGTCCGGTATCTATATCTCTATGTCTTTGACATTCGTAATATTTGGCAGATTTTCTTCACATTTCATTAATATGTACAATTTGTTAGTTCCGGAGTAGTGGAATATTGAATTGATGTATTCTTGAAAAGCCTTTTGAATTCCCATTGGTTCGCAGGCACATTCCAGTCGATGTAGAAATTTTCCGTCTTTCTGGCACCTCAAATCGATACTGGAACATTGTATAGTATAGTTTTGGGTAACGGAAAAGAAGAAAAACTCACATTGTATCTGATCTATAATCATTTCCAAGCTTCTCAGTCAAAATTTCTTTCAAGGCCAATGTGTTAGGTTGCAGAACTTCTTATACAATCTATATTCGAAATTTGTTGGATGCAATTCAAACCCAATCATGAATTCGTCATATCCATGACATTCTCTAAAACGAAACGATACATTTGGAAGCTTAATTCTAGCTTTTTCCACGAGAGCATAAACTAAGTAGGAATACTTCTTGGTATTCCTCCAATTCAGTCACACCAAGGACACCAACTAAACGAGGTAATTTGAGAAGATTGATGGGCATTCTGAAAATCAATTTTTTTATAGAAAATTTGACTATTTTCAAAAGAAAACATAAAGGAGGGAGAATAGTTGTGCTTCAAGAACTAGTTAGAGTTTTACTGATTTCTTCATAATGGTATGCCAAGTCATTGAAATAAATCGGACCGGTAGGTAACTTAAATCCAAGACAAGATCTTCAGTCTGTTGTAGGAACACATGAGAAATATAGACAGAATTTATGAGAGCTATAACGAATAAAATTCAAATCGCCAACATGACGCCGACAGATATAGAAAAAAATTCGGAACAGATTCACCCATGTGAAAGTATGGTATGGAAGATAGGAACAATGGACCTGTTATAAAGTAAGAAAATAAGACAAAATACTGCAGGATATACGAAATGGAAGGAATCATAGTTTTCCTTTGCAGGTTATCGATTGGTGAAAAAAAGAGTGGACAACGGAGAGGCTATGAACGGTCGACTGTGTCTCATACGAATCGGTGTGATTCTCCGGTGACTTGGCGGAGCTCATGCGGGGACACATCATACGGACAGATCCACCCAGCCAACATTGTTCTTCTTATGGTCGAGTCGTCGTATGAATTCGTCGATTGCTAACGTTAATTTAGATGGTATTATAGATACCGTTTGAAAGTGTGCGGTTCATTACAATCGAGTGTCTATTAACTTGATTAACGTAAAATCATTATAATCCGAAATTCTTGGTTTACCTGTTAATCTCAACTGCGTAGCAATCTAAAATAAACGTCTCCGAATTCAGTCGTCTAGAATTTTTGTTGTTAGCTTTTTAGTTTAGGTTCTTTTTTTTCTGAAAAAGATTCCAAAAGTGAACGCCGTTTTAAATGTGGGACCGGGTACAGACTAGACTTTGTGTCCTTGACACTTCACAGTTGGTTTTTTTCTATTTTTCCCTTTGGATAAATATTGGCTTCAGTTGCTTTTATAGTGTTTTTTTTTCCAAACTATTTCATTTTTTTCTGAAAATGTTCATATTCAAAATTCTGAAAAAATAAACATACCGTAGAAACTCTAATAGAAAGCAGTAGAACCAGACCGCTAACTTTGAACTAATTTATCTAGGTTCCTCTAAAAGATATAAAAAAATGATCAGCAGACAAAATGTTTTCAATCTCATGATACACATTTTGTCAGTTGACAACCTTTTTATATCTGCTACATGAACCGAGATATAAGGGCTCAAAGTTGACGATTTCGGTGCTCTTCTTTTAGCGTGATTACGGTAGTCAAACTTTTTTTATATCAAACGGTTCAATTTTATAATCCTAGTCGTCTCAATTGATTCCAACAATTACAATAAAAACGTATACCAGTTTATTCAAGAGAAGAGATTCAGAACAATAATTCAAAAATATAACCATAAAAATAAATCATATCCTAACAGCCGCCGTTTTTCCATTCTTCAGGCAAACGAGGATTTTCAGTGAAGGATCAGAGTAGAGATAGAAGTTTGACACATGGAATGCATAGATCAGTATAATGGTCAAATACTCGAAGATGGCAAATGCTTCATAAGCTTAAATTAATATTTTGTGTCTTTTTCAACACCCAAATTATAAAACTAACCTGCTTTAACACAAAACACATTGTGAAGAATGAAAGCAATAAAAATGGTGGGTAGTGTAATAACAAGACCTAGTAGGACGGTGACCCGTCGTCGACCGTGTTTTGGATTCTCGTCTTTCGCTGTGAACCTCATCAGAATCGTGAAAACTGCATAGTTGATGATGGTGGAGACTGCGAAGCCAGAGAAGAATGCCACGTGGAATTCTGGAATGTTTTGATGGGGGTTCCTCTTTGTCGGGCCCTGTCATAGATTCTTTCAAAATTAATATTTTTGGACCAACTGAATTTGATGACAGAACTCTACGAGTACTACAAAATTATAATTTTTGGATTGCTGTATCTTGTCTATGAACAAAGTTACAAGCCAAAAACCGTCTGAGTTCAGCTTCACAGCTCTATAGCTTTGTAACTTTGTTCACAGACAAGCTACAGTAATCCAAAAAGTATCATTTTGAAGAACTTGTCCAGTTCTATCATATTCGATTTAATCGGGTCAAAAATACTGATTCTAAAAGAAAATATGGCGGGGCCCGGTTTACAAGTATGGTTACCTCCACTTTCTCGCTCTCCAACTGTTGCCAATAATGTTAGGAACAGTGACTGGAAAACCGAACTGATCACCATAACGACTCGCAGAAATTGAAGTTTATTCGATGTCGAAAATGTTAGAATATCTGAAATTTTTCTTTTTTAATTTGAATTTCAGATTTACTCACATTGACGAAGAACTACCATAAGCTGAAGAGGTACACTTGATAATGAAAGCAAATTCCATAGAATCCTTTCAAGTGGCAGGTTTAGAAGACGTGATACAGAAGGGAGGTAGACAGTCTGAAATTTTCATATCCAGATTTTAGGATTTTTTTTTCTAAATTAACTTACCCTACACCCCCAATAGTAATTGTATAATAACCCAGTGTCTACAGAATATCCTATTATAAAAGCCATCAAAACTCCTATCGCTGGCATACTCATTGCTGCTTGAAACACATTTTTCAATGGTAAACTTGCCAAGATCACCGGACCTCGGGCGGCTTCAAAACGATAACTTGGCATGGGAAATCTGCAAAAAAAGAGTTTCGACCACGGCAGGATTCGAACCTACAATCTTCTGCTCCGTAGGCAGACGCGTTATCCATTGCGCCACGCGGCCACATTTTGCGATCAAGTGAGTAGGAGTATATGTGACGGCGAGTTGCAATGGGTACCAAGAAAGGGAAAAAAGAAGGAAGAGTGAAAAAGTTAAAATGTTGAAAAGGAAGGGGTAAGTAGAAAAAAAGAGAAAAAGTACCTAACCTGACCATCGCAATCGTACAACAATAACAAAAGAAATGAATCGATGCCAATTCAATTCAGTCAACATAAGAGATGACCTTTGCCTAGTTTTAGTCCCGGTCTCACTGCGTCTCCCGCACTTTTTTGTATACGAATATGCTAACCATTAGGTCACACGAATTCTTGATGATGATGATTCATTCGAGATCTGTGTTGGTCCCATGAGAAGACAATAGGCTAGAAGGGGCTGAAAAGGGAACAAGTTTCGATGAAAGGAAGAGTGTGTGTAGTGTGAAGGGGTCAAAGTTACAACTAATTGTTCTCGAAGATTCGAGATGATGTCAATATCAAGAAGTATCAATGATTTTTATTTGAAAAAACTAAGCTTGAAAGTTTCCGACGAATTCAAGAGATTGCGAAACTTTTTAAAAACAACCATTTTGAATAGGTTTATCTCCGTTTTAATTTATCTCCGTTTCTGTGGATCCTTCCCGGATCCCTTCCCCCTCTCTGGAGCCCAGAGAAGGGGAGAACTGATTTTTCCTTCCACTTCCTTTTTCTTTTATAGCACTCCTCCCGAGGTCAATGGGCCATCTAGAATCGTGGGTTTTTACGTTGTTTTTTTATGGTATTTAAATTTTTTGAAAACTTTTTTTGCCACGCGGATTTTGTAAACAAATAGGTTTTTCGTCACGTTTAAATAAAACTTGAACTTTTTCTTTTGAAATCTGTGAAACTCCTTGAGAAGATTGTCTCATTAAACCCAATTATCTCGTTTCTTGTTGGAGAAATCCCAAAAGTGACAACAAATGAAATGCTAATGATATCAAGACAAACATTTTTGCTGTTAAAAGTTTTTTGATAGCTTTTACAGGAATCGAGGAAAAATTGATCAAAGTTGACTAGATCCCACACTCTAACTTTCAAGTTTGAGATAGTTTATCTTGATTCTGGTGAAAGATATCGAAAAGTGACAAACTGACCAAATGCTTATTATAACATCAAAATATGTCGTCAGTTTACTACTTTTTGATTCATTTCACAGGAACCGAGATATATGATCTAAAATTTAGATAATGAATTCTAGATGAGAAAAATTAAAAGCAACAAATCTGAAATTGGATTTGCTCGACTAAACTCAAATTTTCAGGATTTCTGACATTTTTAGTTCGAGGTTGTAAAATTTGAATCCCCTTCTTCAATTTCTCCATTTTTCTTTTTCATTCAAATTCAATTCAAATGACGTCAAAATTTTAAATTTCTATTAGGGTTTCCATTTGGGCGGGTGAAGAAGCGGGCTACCCGCTACCCACCCGGATGGCCCCCAAATGGAAAATTTCAATTTTTCTCAAAAATAAGATTTTTGACTTTCAAATCTCTCTAGTGATCATTTCCATTTGCAATAGGCAATTTTCACAACCATGACCGAAAATGTAGGGTTTCAGGGAGACTAAGTTTCATCTTTGTCTTCTTAGAAATCGTTATTTTTTATTTTCTTTATTTTTTATTTTCATCGAAAAGTCTGATGAATCCAAAACCAAAAATTTCAAGCACCAAGATTTCCAAGAGGTTCAGGAATTTTTTTTTCTCGATTGCTCATTATCATCCCAGTGTACTTTTATTTCTGCGAAATAGTGCAGTCACAGTAAGTTTCAAAATTTCCTACACAGAAAAAATGAGATGTTTTTTTGGGTCTGAAACTCTCAAAGGAGATCTAGAATTCTAATTGGAAGTCTTGACTTTTTGGGGTACAAAAAGTAAATGTATTCTCTGAAATTGGAAAACATCTGTTTTTCGAGTTTTCAGTATGAAAAAGGCCGAAAGGTGGTGTCTTTCAGAAATCAGAAAATAGCTGAAAAGCTAGGAATCATCAAGAAATTCCGTGAATGCAAATTTAAATATACCGTAAAACATGCATTAGAAAGGCCCCTTTAATAGAAGGGCCCCTCTAATAGAAGGGCCCTCCGAGAGGGGCTTGGAAAAATAGAAGAGCCCCTGTAATAATAGGTTGTTCGAAAAGTAATGCGCGTTTTTGATTCATTTTAACTTTATGTAAAACTGAAACAAGACAAGATTAATCAGTATGCTTTTCTCCATCATCATCGACCACGTTCTAGCAAAGCTCAAAGATTCAATGCATCTCTTAAAGAACTAAGATAGCTGGAAGTCGGAGTAGTTCGCACTAAACGCGCGTTACTTTTCGAACAACCTAATAGAAGGGCCCTCCAAGAGGGCCCTCTGTGAAACAGGATTCCCGTTCAAATTGTGTTTTGAAATCAGAAATTTTGCGTACTTTTTTAGTGGAAAATATTCCGGGAACTCCACAATTTAATGGAAATTTGTTGAAACTCTTTTTTTTCAATCAAAATCTTGCTAAATTTTGATAAAATTGGCAGATTTCCATAGAATTTTCGATGCTAAATTTCGGAAAAAACTGGCCGGTAAAAATAGAAGACACCCTTTAATTGAAGGGCCCCTGTAATAGAAGGGCCCTCAGGAGGTACCTTCGAACAATACAGGTTTTACAGTCTGTTTTACATTCTGCAAAAATTTTCAAGTTGATCGGAAACTTGAAAGCCGAGCTCCAGACTTTGGAAAATGTCCAAAATGGCCGAAAATCAACTGAAACATATTTTTTTGCATGTCATATAATCTTCAAAGATGGCCTCTAAAATGTTCCTATTGTGAAATCTGCCCTCCGTTCTTTCTAAAGAGCACGAGACTACAGAATAGAGCACGAGACTACAGAATATAGTGTCACAGCTCTTTTTTCTGGCTTTTTCCCCTCCTTAGCTTCCCATGACTATTGACTCAATCAAATCCCTCTCTCCCTCTCTTGTTCAATAATTCATATTTTTCCGGAAAATTCTCTCGTTTCCCCGTCGGCACTCGATTGCCTAGGACTCCGAACCCAAAACATCCGGATATCCGTGTTATCCGTGTGCCACCCAATGTTTTGATCCTTTTCTGAAGCCATTGTGAAGGAAAATTCAATCACCTTGCTGCTTGACTTTTTTCATTTACTCCTTTTCTCTTTCTTTTTTTCATTTATGTCTCACACTCCTTGCCAACCCGAAAAGACGGAGAAAGCAAAGAAACACACACTCCGCCCGCTTTTTTTCTTTTTTATGCTTCTTGAATTTTTTAATCATGGTTGCTCTTCACGCCTTCTTATATCATTTTAACTCTTTATCACTCTAATTTTTCTTTCAATTTCAGAAAAATGGTCAATTATCTCCCCGGAGCGGCCCATCTTCCTATTTGCCGATCGAGAAGTGAAAAGAAGAAGCAGGTCAACTACAATAACAATGATATCACTTCTTTGTAAGTTCTAAAAATTACTGTTTTGTCATAAGTGAAAAAAATTTGGTCTAGAAGAAAATTATAGAGAATCTGTGTTTTTTTTTGGATAAACCGTCAATTTCGAGCCAATTTATCTCGGTCCCTATAAGAAGTATCAAATAGTGATCAACTGAGAAAATATTGGTTCTAGGTCCTGGATCTTGGGTTCTAGGTATTTTGGATGGTCCAGTGACCCATTTCACAGGTTGTTCATGTCTATTCCAGTACAAATGTCTTCCTCATTTTTGTCAAATGACGTCTCTACACTTTCCGATTCCTCAAAAACCAAGCTAGATACCTAAAAACTTCTAATTGCGAAAATGTAAAGCATAAAAATTCACAAATTTTATTAGTTTAAAAAAATTCCATAACTTTTACACTTCCCGAGATACGGGCGCTTCAGCAACATCCAGAAGAGAGACGCAGAGAAACGAGAGTACACTCGCTTCTCTGCGTCTCCCCGCTCCTCTTGCGTGAAAACCGCCAGAGATTGCTCATATCTAAAATTCCAGTACAAAGGGCTTACTCATTATTGTCAAATGACGTCTCACAGATGCACCAAAACTTCCCTGTTTCTATTTTTCCCCGCATATCATCTGTCTGATCTGGCTTTTCCCCTATTTTGCAAACCCTAGCTGGCACCAACATCACCACCTCCTTTACCTTCCACATCACTGCTTCTCATATGAGTTCAGAACCAGAAAAAAATCTTCTTGCATATTTCTTCTCACACCTCCTCCGCTCACATTCTCACACCCCAAACTCAATCAATCAGAGATCAGAACTTTGCTCCCGAAAGAAAGAGAAAAATCTGGTGTTTTTGCAGATACCATTATTTTCAGACACCTCCTTTATGGTCGTGTGAATAATTCGATTCAGAAGAGAACCAAACTTTTTTTTCGTTCAGCTGACTTCTATTCAAATTTTGGTGACTGACTTATCGATTGCTTTGGTTGTGCTGATTTAGAATCTCATCTCACATTCAGTAAATTTGATCCTCATGAGAGAGGATCCGAAGAGTCTATGATCCAAAATGGATCTAAAAGATCTAGAAGTATCTAGAAGGATCTAAAAGGATCCAGAGAACTACAGAAGGATCTAGAAGTATCTAGAAGGGTCTAGAAAGATCTAGAAGGATCTAGAAAAACCTAGAAGGAACTAGAAAGACCCAGAGGGAAACTAAAATGATCCAGAAAGATCTAGAAGGACCTAAAAGGATCTAGAAGTATCTAGAAGGATCTAAAAGGATCCAGAAAAATCAAGAAGGATCTAGAAGGATCTAGAAGGATCCAGAGAAATACAGAAGAATCCAGAGAGATCTAGAAG